AGTACTCTTTTAGTAGGTCAAGCAAATGGAAGTCACCGAGAGCCAGGTCTGGACTCTGTGACATAAAGGAACTTCCCAGCCCAGACTGTTGAATTTGGCTGCGGTGGCTTAGGCTGCATGGAGTTCAGCATTGTCTTGGAGAGAAAAAAACTCCGCTGGACAGTAGGTCGTGATGTTTCTTTCGAATTAGTGCGCACACATCATAAAGGACGCTGCCGTAGTAGGCGCTCTTGATAACAGAACTTTACATGAATGCTTCCTTTCTGATCCCAGAACAATGACGCCATCACCTTTCTACATGGCAAGGAACCCGTAAAATGTTAATGGGCGGTGGAGAGCTAGTGTTTTGATTCCGTCCTGGAAAGCATTGATTTCTGGAGTGTGATGATAAACTCGGCTCTGATCGCGTGTGACAATGTATTCTAGGAATGTTTGTCCTTCTGTTGTGAAACGAGCGAGCAGCTCGGGGTAGATGCACATCCAGTCACGCTTGCCGAGAGCAATGACAGAGCAATGACACAATGTGAAAGCTCGAGTGGGCATGGCATCAGTTTCAACGCTGCCAATGCTCATTCACGTTCCTATTGCAATTGCACGGGCGGTAACACGGCAATCGGCAAGAATCACGCTTTCCACGTGCGTCATGTTGGCAGGTGTCAAAGCACTCTGTTTGGGCCCTACCATGCCGACATTATCCATCACACGTGTGCGACCGCCCTTTAATGCGTGCACACTAACCAAACACGGTGTATTATCCGAGCGTTGCATCTCCAAAACTGCGTGTAACCCATGTCCACTGTGCCCCACTCTTCTTGGCCGCGATCTTTATTGAGTGCATAGGGGTGGTTATCAATTAAGTAAAAATAAAAAAAATTTGGTCGTACTCTAGCGTTGCCTTCTTTATTTCTCTCGCCACCTCCGTAGCGCACGCACTCGCTCTCTCGTGGCCACGCGCACAGGAAACTTCCAACAGCTGGTGTAGAGTTTCAACCGATCCGGTTACATGTGCACCGCGTGTCACATGCGAATCTCAGCTGGCTTCATGTCTTCATGCACAATGTGCTTCGTCACTGCTCTCTGTTCCACTACTGGGCTGACCTCACCGTTTGCCATATTTTTTCACACATGACGCATGCACTTCGTGAAGCTCTGCCCTTCGAAGAAGGGGCATTGCCCAAAACGTCGCCTGTTATATATATATCCGTTTCCTTTTAAGGCGATTTTAATGGCGAATGTGTTGAGTTTGTTTTTGTTGCCTTCAATGCAGTATGCATCACAAATAATATCCCACCTGGAGGCTGCTGTTTTCAAAGGATCCACATTTATACATGGCTGCCTGAAAGCCTGGTCATAATATTGCACCGTCCCCACTAACAAAAGTGCAGAAATCATATTTTCCGCCAACACATATGATGATGATAATGATATGGTTGACATGTAAGTTTTTTAAAATTGTTTTTATATTGGCTGTGTTTAATATTGTACGAAACATATATACAGTACTGTCTTACATCAGTGAAAGCAATCTTGTTTCTGAGATCAATGGTGTAACAACACCTGATATTACAAATTCTACATTTTCACATTATTAATCAATAGTTATAATTATAAATGATACTTATAATGATCAATTATCAGGCAGATAACATTTTCACCCATTGTACTTACGACAAAATGTATATGTGATGGATTATATCGCAGAAAATGCCTTTGAATTAAAGTAAAGAGGCTGATCTATAATACAAGCTGCGTCAGATCTGAGAACGTTGACCAGGGTGTGCCGTAAGGTGTTTGTCCAGGGTGTGGTTGGGTTTTTGATCAAGGAGCAAGCGTTGGATGTTTTGGCCGATATGATTCTGGAAGATTAGGCTTAAATATGATTGTTATCCAGTGAGATAACTATGTAGGCTATTACGTTTTGAGTGTGTTCATTTGGACACGTACGTGTGTACATATCTGAATCCTCATCTAAATTTGGAAGCTAGATATAATTGTATGTGTATGAGTTTAACAGCAGAGGTCTCACTCCGAATCAGTCGAGCGGCAATATCTTTGCATCGGTTGCATAACGCTGTGTGGAATCTACCTGGTCTGTCGCTCCGCACTAAGCTTCAGGTATTCTCGGCCAAGGTCATTCCCTCCCTTCTCTACGCTTGCGAAACGTGGACCCCCCTAATGGAACATCTTTGCCGGTTAGAAACATTTAGGCTAGCCTGCCTACGATCCAGCCTGGGTTTAACCAGGCTGGATTGTGTGAGGAGCTCACAAATCTTTGAAAGATCTGGGCAAGGTCCCATCGGTGAGCTCCTCCGGCAGGCAAGGCTGCGTTGGCTGGGTCATGTAGCCCGCATGCCCAGCCACTGCATGCCGAAACAGCTTTTGTTCGGCCGGATCGAGGAGGCTAAACGGGCGCGGCATGGGCTAGAGAAGAGATGGAGTGATGTGGTACAGGAGGACGTGGAGCTGAGTGGACCTGCCGATGACTGGTACCAGCGGTGTCACGATCGGCCTCTGTGGAGGAAGCTCTTGAAGGACGCTACTGGGCAGTTGGAGATAGTCGCCCTCCAACAACGGAGGGCGGAGCGATGCTCACAACAACGAGCGGAGCGCCGGGTGGCTAAAGCACAGCAGGTTGGCACAGTAAGGGGCACAGGTGGTGCATCAGCCAGTCATCTCAGTCATCTTAGTCAGTCGACCCGTGGCACTTGGGTCTGCCCCGTGACCTCCTGCCCGTGGGCGTTCAACACTTCACGTGGCCTCAAGGTGCACATGGCCTGGCACAAGCCTCGTGGTGACGTCACCGCCACTTAGTGGCGAATGGCGGTTATTGTTGTTGTATGTGAAAAGGTCCTGGCAAGGATTAATCAACATCGCCTTGCCAGGCACGCTGAGGAGAGGCTTGCGGAGCCCCAATGCGGTTTCAGGAAAGGGCGGTCCTGCACAGATGCCATATTTTCTGTCCGTCTGCTACAGCAGAGGTGTAGGGAATTCCAACAAGACCTACATCTCTGCTTTATTGACCTGGTCAAGACCTATGATACCATCAGTAGACCTGGGCTCTGGGTTATTCTTCGTGCTTTAGTAGTCCCTGACCCTCTGCTCACGATCATTAAGGACCTCCATGATAGTGAGCGGGCTCGGGTAAAACTATGTGGCTGGGAGTCGGAGCCATTCCCTGTTCACCTTGGGGTGCGACAGGGATGTCCTCTGGCTCCCACATTATTTCACATATTTTTCGACAACGTAGTTCGTGAATGCTTTGATGGCTGTACCGGAGGAATTTCCATCTGGTACAGATACAATGGGAGGCTGATCGATGCCCGGGTGCGGTCAAGGGATGGCTCCCTATTGCTCAACCAGGTTATATATGCTGATCTGGTAATTGCTGCTCACTCAGAAGAGGAGTTGGAGGTGCTGCTGCTGAACCTGGAGCGTACCACTAAGAGCCTTACCATCAGCCCCACCAAAACTAAGCACCTGCCTGGGTATTTTGTACCATCGGGCACTCCACCCCCACAACTCCCAATTGGTGATGGGGCAGTTGTGGAGAGAGTGGAGAGTTTCCCATACCTGGGTAGTGTGCTCATGACCGGCTCCGGTTTGACAGCAGAGGTCTCACTCTGAATCAGTCAAGCGGCACTATCTTTTCAACCTGTTGCGTAGCACTGTGTGAAATCTACCTGGTCTGTCGCTCCGCACGAAGCTTCAGGTCTTCTCAGCCACAGTCATTCCCTCCCTTCTCTACGCTTGTGAAACGTGGACCCCCCCCCTAATGCAGCATCTTCGCCGGTTAGAAACATTTAGGCTGGCCTGGCTACGATCCATCCTGGGTTTAACCAGGCTTGATTGTGTGAGGCGCTCTCAAATTCTTGAAAGATGTGGACAAAGTCCCATCGGTGAGCTCTTCCGGCAGGCAAGGCTGCATTGGCTGGGTCATGTAGCCTGCATGCCCAGTCACCACATGCCTAAACAGCTTGTTTGGCCGGATAGAGGGGGCTAAACTGGCGTGGAATGGGCTAGAGAAAAGATGGAGTGATGTGGTACAGGAGGATGTGGAGCTGAGTGGACTTGCCGATGACTGGTACCAGCGGTGTCAAGATCGGCCTCTGAGGAGGAGGCTCGTGAAGGACACTTCTGGGAAGTTGGAGACAATCGCCCTCCAACAACAACGGAGGGCGGAGGAGCGACGCTCACAACAATGAGCAGAGCGCCGGGTGGCTAAAGCACAGCAAGTTAGCACAGTAGGGGGCACAGGTGGTGCATCAGCCAGTCATCTCAGTCAGTCGACCCGTGGCACTTGGGTCTGCCCCGTGATCTCCTGCCAGCGGGCGTTTGACACTTCACGTGGCCTCAACGTGCACATAGCCTGGCACAAGCATCGTGGTGATTTCACCGCCACTTAGTGGCGAATGGCAGTTGTTGTATGTGTCTGTCTTTTAGACAGGAGTGGCAAGGGCTAGAGAAGAGATGGGCTGATGTGGTTCCAAAGGATGTGGAGCTGAGTGGTGTAGAGATCGGCCTATGTAGAGGAGGCATGTGAAGGATCCTACTGGGCGGGAGAAGGCAGTTCCCCTCCAGAAACAGCGAGTGGAGTGCCAGGCGGCTAAAAGGCATCAAGGTGGCACAGTGGGGAATGCAGGTGGTACATCTGCCAGTCATCTCAGTCAACCCATAACACCTGAGTTTGTCCCGTGACCTGTTCGCAGCGAGCCTTCCACACTACACGTGGCCTCAAAGTGCACCTTGCCTGGCACAACCGCCGTGGTAATGTCATCGCCACTTAGTAACGAATGGCAGTTGCTGTTTTAAATGAATGTCAAAGGCCGATTCCCCATATAGACGTTAACATGCTGTTGGGGCAAATGCTATTAGCGAGAACCTATGAAGTCCGGCATGGCACATGAGTTGAGTGGGTGGCCAATACCATTCCTGGCTGTTATTGTCTCCCCAGTGCTTACACACTGCACCATATACTCATGTTTATACACTGCACCATATACTCATTGAAGGCTGAGTCGACTTAAATATGCGCCACTGTTATTGATTGTGAGCGGGACTCAAACTCAGATTTTCGGGTTCGTAGCGCAGTGTGCTAACCACGACATTACCGCTCCCCCTCCAACAATACATCATGCCCCTAAGACAGCTTCCAATTTATTTTGTTATTATAAGTTTTTGTGTCCCAATCAGCAACAATTGTTCCTGTGGAAATAAAAATGAGGATGGAGGCATAAGGGCATTATCTTTTTACATAATAACACGTGTAATACTTCCTTACCTGATTAAATACTATTTAAAAACCTTAAACTATATATAATGGATGCAACAAATGGAGGTGATATTGAAACAAACTTAATTTTACTTATATTGCTGGTGTGGACATGGTAGCGGGGGGGGGGGGGGGGGGCAGTGTAGTGACAGGAGTGAGATGGCTATCTTAGAGAACGCTGAAGAGCTTTCTCATTTCTTGAGAGATGTTACATCCTTGTAGCTTCATGTCCAGTAGGTAGAAGTCAGCCTCCTCCAGTGCATCTCTCTTCCCACGCCCAGTGTGATCATCCTCCTCTGTCCTGTGGGCACAATTCAGCAATAACAACCACGTCACTAAGTTTGCTTTTCAGGTCAACCTTAATCAGTGCAAGATCTACAAACGTCCTCTTAAAACCACCAAGACGTTTGACGGTTAGCCAAAGATCCACACAATTTGTGTTCATTTAAGACCAATTGTCAGTACAATCGGTGCTGCTACATATATATTAACACAATTCGTAACAAGACAAATACAGCCCCACATTGGTAGCTTCCTCTCTGTATTAAAAAAAAAAACTATGAATACCTGATGGAATTAATAAGCTAATAAACTGCACCCTAAAGATAATCTGGTCAAAGTTGATTTGAAGCTTTAAGAAGAAGAATGTGGTCAGTTTTTAAGTGATTTCTCAGTTCACCAAGGTCCCAGTTAATGAGTCAATTAAGATACTCGATGATGTGGTTAGTAATAAATGTTTATCTAAACACATCCAACAAATTGGCTATGACACTACTTAAATGAACACTTTTTCCTCTAGAGTGTAGATATTTACACACACAAGGAAGGAGCAGCAATGGCTTTTCTTTGTCATCTGTTATTGCTCATCTATAAATGAAAATATTTGCAGCAAAGCATGAGCTTCAAGCACATTAAACCCCTCTCATTGCTTCAGATTCGTGGATGACACACTAGTTGTATGGCCCATGGTGAAAATACACTTCATGAATTCCTAAGTCACCTCAGTTTCCTGTGGAAGTCAAGGAGACCAACACTCTCCCGCTCCTGGATAATCTGCTTGGTCATGACCCAAATGGAAAGAAAATACACACTGATGCTTGTCTGAATGCACACTTTCATCATCACCCACGAGAACAAAAAACCCTGTCATCAAGACACTCAAGCATTGGGCAAAACAGTCATGTGATGAAAGTCTAAATAGTAAAATCAAACGAGTCAAAAAACGCTGAGATTGAATGGATGAAATAATTCGCAAATTAACAGAGCACTGAATGTTAAAAATAAGTAAGGTAATACAAGCGATGACAATGCAAATGTACCCAAAACAATTCAACCTCTGTGTACGTATTGCATGAGCCACTTTTAAATCGTCTAGAATTTTGGAAAAACTAAAAAATCTGGGTGAGATGTGCCACAGTACCCAAAAATACAACTGTTAGATAGATAGGTTAATGTCTGATTATGCTGGCTGTAACTGCCAGTGAAATGTCGTACACAAATGTTAAGTGTTGTGGATTGCTCTCCAACACACCAGTAGTGCTAAACCAGTAATACATTGACACGTTTTGTTTGTGTCATAACTTTAATATTTGCCTGTTGTGGGGTGGAGAAATGATTACAGTGTACATTTTACTTATGCGATCTGATCCAAAAATCAATTATGAATCAGCATTGGTATAATGTAAGCACATTCTGAACTGGTTTCTACATTCAAAATCTTATCATCAGTCAGGCTTGCTTAAACTAACGCTGGCACACTGCCAGATGTTCATCGGCAAGAGCCCAAAGCATATAATTGTGTTTTTCATGTGGAGAGACATGAGAAGCAGGGATATTATCCCCTAATTTATTTTGTTACCTTATATTCACCAGAACGCTCATGATCATTTGGTGTTAATCCATCAACACATTCGGCATGTAATTATTCACCCGTGCCGCTCTACCCTGCCATGATGTGAACTGTTACAAATCTCGATTGTGAATCGACAAAAAAAAGATGTTCTCATTTGTACTTTCTTATTGAACCAGTCTCTCTCAATGTTTTTTTTTCTTGTTTGAACTGTCCAGTTTATTCAAATAGGTTAAATTGAACATTTCCAATACATTTGTATAAACGGTTAATAATATATTTGTACATTGACCCTTCGATGAAAGTATCGTGATCGTAACAAGCGATTTTACTATTTTTATTCTTTGATAGAATTTTATTTTTATTTTTTCTATTTACTCAATGAATCGTTAAATGCCTACGTGGCACCCTCTGCAGAATGTGAGTCAAATCTGTCCATTTTCTCTATCTTGCAACGTGTGTGTGAGTACAGAGATGACGTGATGCTCACACAAAGACGTGGTAGAGCATCCTCTCGGAGAGGGCACAGAGGGCACTGAAGAGGTGGAAATCAAACTTGCTGTTGTTGTCAGCACCGACGATGTCAAGGACGGTGTTGATTTGAGCAGCGCCGACTATGTTGCCATGCACCTTGCTGAGAGCCTGCTGACAATCCTGCACACGTCACCACGACCGCCACCACCACCATAAACATGGTGACCTCTCTTTACAGTGTCACAGCCCGTTTATTTAACGTCACCAACCTCATCCAAACTCAAACCTCCCGTCCAGAACTCTGCAAAAGTTTCAGGAGTCTATACATTTATCACACCTCTATTCTATGCTGATGTTCTTCCTCTTTTTATTTCGAATGGCGTTTGAAAAAAGCAACAGGCTACAATTGTGCTTAAAACTTTTGTAAAACATTACACGACATCTGGGCTAGCTGAGTGGAAAAAAAGTACGATCGTTATCTTTCGTGCACAAATTATTGATAATCTTATTGCATTATGTTTACACTGTGTTAAACATATATGTAATCTAGACTTAATATTTTTCAGGTATTTGAAAATTTGAACAGGCATGAAACAACAGTACCGTGAAAATGATTTCTTTTTCCCCTTAAATAAATTACTACTCTGGGGTGCGATTATAAAAGAGAGACTATAATTGGGTATTCCCCCCTATAAACTACTTTCAAATGTAGACTGAGTGGTCGTTTAGCAGAGACGCTGAACAATCACAATGCCTTTGTACACATATCAGTGTGACCTTGTAGGAGAGGAATCCATGTTTATCCAGGTGCATTTGGATGAAAATGGATTTATAGTGATTGCATCTTCTCCGGTCCACGGTGCAGTAATGCAGTAGGTACTGCTGTGGAGTTATGCCTGTACGGACGATATGGAAAACACATCATGCAATAATAGGGCTTTTCCCCTTTTTTTTAGGCAACAAAACTGAAACCTTTTCACAAGGAATCATGTGTGCACTAACCACAATACTTGTGGTCAAAATGCAAACAAAAACACACTGATAATATATGCATTAGCCTTGAAACTGATTGGTCTACACCAGAGACGGCTTTCTTTTGAGCCTCGTCTCAATTTGTGCTATTTTGGTACTGGCAAAGGAGGTCTAATGATGTAGACACATCATGCAGTTACATAGTCTGCACAACCTGCAGATAAAAAGGTCAGCACTGGCGATAAATGAAGCAGTTAATTCCATTCCATGTTAATGGAAGGTCATCATCATCAACTATAGCCACAGTCCACTGCTGAATGAAGGCATTGCCAATCCACTGTCATCTCTCTCCCGATCCTACAAAAACATTGAATCTCATATCTGCAACTGATTTCATCATTCTATCTGCTTGGTGGATGTCCTCTCCGACAACTTGCATTCCTCGGTTTATAGTGACACGTCTTTCTCAGGCCCACTTACTTTTCAGTTTTAATTATGTCAAAGACCTGTGTATGTTCTCTAATCCATGTGTCACTATTTCTGTTTCTCTCTGTAATTGAAGCATACATCTCTCCATGCTTTATATGCACGTTTCAGTTTTTATTCAATGTTTGGCCATAATGACCACGTTGCTGAATCATGACATAACAAGTCGTAAGTACATAATCAAATCATGCTGCACACTACAAATTATATAATCATCAGTCCATTGCTCTAAAGCTGTTTATTTCTTTGTTTCCATTTGTGTCCTTCCAACAATAGTGGGTTTTTTTTTTGTTCAGCAAAGCAGAAAGAACTGGAGAAACAAAAGCATACACATGAAGAGAAAGTATTCGCCGTGTTAGAATGGCTGCCAACGTAGTCGATGTAACAGCATCATTATACTGGTAGTAGGAAACGTAGTGGACTGGAAGCCCAACCGGGATTAATTCACAGGAGGCAGGGGATTAATTGTGTATGTCTGTGGATGTCTGTCCACGTGTATCCGGACACCCGGATAAAATGGGAGGGGTGGGGCTGGGTGGAGAGGTGAGGGTGGGGAGGGGCTGGGTGGGGAGGGGAGGGTGGGGAGGGGCTGGGGAGGATGGGGAGGGGAGGGTGGGGAGGGGCTGTGTGGGGAGGGTGGGGAGGGGCTGGGTGGGGCTGGGTGGGGGGTGGGGAGGGTAGGGCTGGGTGGGGGGGTGGGAGGGGTGGGGCTGGGTGGGGAGGGGCTGGTCACCCCGTGGTGCCCTTATAAAACTCAACGTTTAACCTACTCACGCCGGCTTGTGCCCGCCCTCACAGTCGGGCATATTTGCGGAATACACCACGTGGTGCCGCCGTTGACCCTGGCCATTGACCGAGCAACCCAACGTTGCTACCAGCTCCCTCCGCAGGAATGTGTTAACGTAACAGACAAGGAAAGTAAAAGGGCATCCGTGGTCATTCAAATTTGCATGCACTTTTAAGCAAACCTCTAGTTACGCCCGTATTTAATATATTACAGTATTTAGATTATTTGGCTGCTTTACATTTCCACGTGATAAGCCACTTCGTTGAACTATCGTTTGTGGCCAGTTCTCTTCTGAATTAGAAGCTAATAGCTAATTGGGCTTTACCTGCTAAAATAAAAATAGTTTTTTGTGATTTGCTAACCTTCCTTTATTGTGTTTTCGTATTGTTTTTGTTGTTGTAACTTTCTGATCCACCGCTTTTGAACATTTGTGAAAAAGAGCTTCATCGCTCATTGGATTCCTCCAGCGTAAATAAAGATTCTGATTCTGAATAACGACTGCAGTGCGGTGTGCGTTGTGGAAACCAGCGCTGATGAATCCGCTCTAATATTCTGACTGATGAAGCATTTGTTGCAACGATAAAGCCAAACTCGCAACGTTCACTTGACAATGAAGCACGACCCAGGTTTCATTTCAATGCCCGATCACAATGCGCGTAAACAATTGGACAACATTACAAGCTGGGTTTTATCAAGACTGGTCACTAGGAAAGGATGGGATGATGATGTACTCGTGTGAAGGAATTCTAATTTACCTTCCAGAGCGCGAATGTCTACTGGAAGCCGGAAGTGGCAGATGAGCTTGGAAGCAGCCAGGCGAGTCTGAGTGTAATTCATCTCCTGTGCCAATGTAAGTTGCACGATCAGAATGGTTAAGCAGTAACATTTAGTGCATGTGTAGAGGCATTAATCGGCACTCCCCATCCTGTTAGCGGGTAGCTCCCTCTTCTCGTCAACAGGGGGCGGAAGCGCTATCACTCCAGTACTCGTGACTATGGCCCAAGCGGCCAACGACAATCCCTAGGAAGCGGATGCTGGGACACAATTCCCGAACCCCGGGAGGGGGGACTGGGGGATGATGTCACCTTCCAGAAAGTTCTGGAAGGGAGGCGTGTCTAGGGCAGAGCAAGCCACGAACCAGTATATAAACCGGACCTCTCAAGGGTCCGGCTCAAGTCACCTCCAAGCCGAAGACTGAAGACCTGGGCTGAAGTTAGAACCTGGACCCCAAGCTCCGTCGTCCTTCTAAGGGCCGGAGCTCAGTGAGGCCAGTGGTCAAGGGAAGATAGGTCCCTGGAGGACAGGACCCTGGACCCCAAGCTTCGTCGTCCTTCTAAGGGCCGGAGCTGAGTGAGGCCAGTGGTCAGGACCCGAAGACCCTGGCACGGTCGGGTCAGCATAGCTTCCCCTAGGACCCCCAGCCGGAGAACGGGGAATTAACGGGGCCCAGTGTTAGGGCCCGTGTAGTTCGGAGGCCATACCTCCCCAGGTATCGGGTGAAGGGGCCGCTACCCCTTTGTGTTAGGGACCCTGTAGAATAGAGTGTGAATAAATATCGTGTTGCCTCGCAAGAAGTTCTCCGCCGATTATTTACCCACTACACATGCAATGGAACCGTCAACAACCCAAACATATAATCTGATACAAAGATGGCCGTAGACAATAGTTGGCCAGGAGCCAAATGTAGCAAACTGGTAAATTAATGCATGAATGATAACTTAGTAGGCATGACTTGTTGGATTTTGAATGTTGCAGTAAATGTAGATCTAATTTATCAAGCGTACTTGAATATAACGTACATAAATATATTGATTTAGTAACAAAACTATGGTATATATATTCTCATATTTTGGTACTGGCAAAGGAGGTCCCATGATATATATATTTGAAGTTAGAGCATATTTCTGCAATGTAATCTGCACACATTTATTCTAAGACATTAATCGAAAACTACTGTGAATGAATTCAATGTCTATTCAAAACAATGCCATTTACCAATTTTTTTTTTTTAAAAAAGCTCAACACATTCGTTAATACCAATGCCTGAAAATAAATATGTATAATGGGTGACGTTTCATATTAATGTATGTGTTATGAAGAAGGGGGCATTATATATTAATTTTTAAGGGAATGCTATTGACGAATATGTCGAGGTTGTTTTTAATTGTGCTTGTGCACCACAGGCAATGCAACATCGCGAAATAAATTGTTTAATGTACAATTGAGTGGGCTGTATTTCTGCACATCAACAGCACCCCCGGGGTGTATATTTGCGGAAGTGCTATTGCATTTAGCCGTGGCAAAATGAAAATCGTATTGAATAAATTCTGGAAATCCATAACACAATAAAAATGTATTACTTATAAATAGTTTTAATTATGCCTCTGAAATACATGAAGCGTTTTCAAATATTAACATTCACAAAGCTTATACAACTTACAAAACCAGCTTTGCAAAAGCAATCGCAAAGGCATACTTAACTCTTTCACATATTTGCATCAACCCAACATTTGTTTAAAAGCTGTTGTAGGCATACGTATGCGTGCAAATCATGCTTGAGACTTCTGTGACATTTCATCGCCATGTTGTAATGTGTGATTTATGAATACGCCGAGTGTATGCTCATCCCTTACCAGCTTTTTATAATGCCCCATGGTCATGAAGTCCTGGGTGTCATCAGCCAATGCTTGGCTCTGAAAAGCAGCCATCCTCTCCTCTAGATCCGTCTGTTACATAATATGGCAATATTCGTGGGCTTTCATTCACAAGCTATACACACAACACACTTCATGTGTTTTCTCAAGGATCAAGTTGGGACGCAAGTTGGGAAAATCAAATAACATAACCCAGCTCAAACAACAACCTTTATTAGCTGCCATAATAGCTGCTGCCAAAATTATATCAGTGTGGAACAAGACACTAACCAGAAGCATGCTGAGAACCCCGAATTATGACGGACAATGACCAATATTTATCATTGGGCTGAAATGTTTGTGAGGGAGCCCACCAATTACGGACTATCGCTCATGCCCTGCTGTCCACCTGTGTGCAGTACCTGTTGGTCATAAATAAGTGCACTCTTTGGCCTTGATGGAGCTGGTCCACCCCCTGCCTCCTTGCCATGCTGCTTTCTCTTCCTTTTCGCAGGTGATTTGCCAGAGGCTGAGCGCTTTGATTGAGGTTTCCTGTAAGTAGAATCGTCCAGCATTGCACGGTGTTTACATTAAGGTGTAATGCTGAGCTGCCTAACAATGGTTAGCTGTTAGATGGCGTGGCTATCCTCGTCGTGAATATTCAAGATATATTGAGCTACCACGGTCTGAAGTATGAAAGATATTGGAAATTGAAAGAACACTGTGTAGCTGATGAGGCGGCGATTTTAAGATGAAAGTATTTTTTGTTTTAAACCTAAATTCCTTTTTTTGTCTTGTTTGTGATGGTCACCAGAAAGCGAAGACTTTAATACAGAGGCCAAATTGAGAGTCAAGCAGCTAAGTAATGAGAGCAAACATAAGTGCCGCACTGTGTGTATGCCAATTCTCACAGATTTTAAACAAATACATGGCATGAAAAGTCTGGAAGAATATGGACTTTGCCAGGAAGGGTAATGTGTTTTAAAGCACGGTGAACGATTAAAATTTTCAAAAAGCCTTATTTAAGCTATACATAGTCAAAGCTGCACGTACTGAAGGCAACGATTTACATGTATCATCATCCATTTCTTGGTTCGTTTGGGAAAATAGAAATGTGCAATATAAATATGACATTTACAATGCATTTTAAAACGAATTTACATCACGTTAACAATTTTGAACACAATTATTACAGGGATAGAGCATGCATGTGAGTTAAATGCATTCGACTATTTGAGAAATACGAGTGAAGACTATGAAGGACACGGTGGCAGTAGTGAACTTACTTTTGTGATTTCCCCATTGTCCCTGCTGGTGTTCCACAGACAACAGGTTGACTGGGGGTGAACCAACGGAGCCTTTGCTGCAGGAATTGAGAAAGCAAGCAGACAATTAATTCGTGTCGGCACACTTACAAATGTGGCAACACCACGGAAACCCAAAGCAATACATGTACCACAAATATATCATGCTATTTTTTCTACACATATAAATATCCCTTTTTGGCTGAATGTTAATGGTTTATCAAATAGGCATACCGTTTTAGTTTACCTTTTTTTATGAAATAGTTTTTGAAACTATAAACACTGACAACAGTAGCGCCGTATTCCAAAGAGCTGTACAATCATTGTAAAAGTGTACATCAGATGATGGTGGTTGAAATAAAGAGTGGGGTTATCTAGAAGTGGTGGTGCAGTTATGGTGACAGGAGAACAGGTGGGAGTGGTTAACACAGGGTTTGAGTATGCCTGGCCGTAGCTGGGGGGAGGGGGGGGAAATCATCATCGACAACGCAGCTACATCACTGTAGCCCTAAAGTGGATGTGTAACCACTGTATTACACCGCCTCTCAAGATAGCCAATAATAAAGTATTGGCAAAGTGTCACAAGGACTTGTGGAAAGAATGGAAAATTGGTTTTCTGAGAGGGTGAAAACTTCGTGAAAGATGGAATTTATGGATCTGGTTATTGATCCACTGTGCATTAACCTTGAAGACCTCAAAGGTATTTTTTTTAAATATCAATGTTTATTGTTTAAACACGGGATTCTGCAACACTGTACGGTATGTATTTCGATTCACAAGGGTGGTGTAATGTAATGTTGTATATTAAGTATGCAGTGCTTTTAATTTCGGCACTGTATTTACATTGTTTGATTATACACATACTTTACTCGAAATGTCTTTGGCACCAAAGCAGTTTTGGGGAGTCGTACTACAGAAGGGGAGTTCTCAAACTCAAAAGAGCGAGGAAGGTGAATTGTGAGCACGGTTGTGTGCGTGCTACATTAATTGTGGCTGTACAGGAGTACAATTCAACTTCCTCGCATTGCCAACCTCCCCATATTGACACAAGTGCCAAATGCAACATTTATCCATCATCTGCCGTCTATTTCAGCAAAAAACAACCATGCCGAAGGCCGCTCAATATACATTTATGCTGTTTACCTTTTAGGCTTATTTCACGGGTGTCTACTGCCTTCCATTTACACTTTGAACTAGCCTTATTTTTAAAAAAAACGGTGTATCTTTTCTAAAAGACGCGTCATCTCAGTTGGTTCTCACCTGACTTAAGAAACGATCTTGCTTGATATGCGATGGCGTGTTGTCATCCCGTAAGATATCTCTGCCTGTTGAAAAGGGATCAACACAAGTTAATTAATTATTTGGTCAATTAATGAGTGGTACCACAGAGCAAACGTGGAATCCAAAAGCCTCATCTTTTTGCCATGAAATGCACTCCCACCCCACCCCCCCAACTATAACACCAACACATGGGCACGCCTCCACTATATTAATATATTCTATGGAGCGAAAGAAACCCGAACAGAGTCGTGCCCACCGCTCGAATCCCCTGCACGTGTTCCCAGCACAGAACACGCAATTGCACAGCTCCTATTGGTGGTTCCACTGCTGGATGAAGGCGTCTCTTCCACGCTGGGGGGGGAGGCAGCATGTGAATGGGAAGGGTTCAGATATCACTCGCCCCTGATGTTTGTCTGCGAGCGAACTCCTCCGTCAAACACACATTGCCGGCGATTTAAAAATAATAATAAATATATATATATATAACAAACGGCGGTCACCGTGTTGAGCCGAGCATGTGGAACAGTTGTAGCCACGGCACGAGTGAGCGCATGGTTCGGATCGGTCCTCGGGGGATTCCGCAGCCCCAGCAACGCAATGACGAGTTGACCCCCATCACCAGCAACAACAACAACAACGGTGGTGGTGGTGGTGGCAGCAGTAGGAGGAGGAGGAGCAACAAAACCACGCGAGTTCACATCCTGACCCTGGGTGGGGGTCGCGCCGCGGGAGGTCCGAGTTTGTTTGCTCTGCGCCGCGTTGGCTCTCTGCTCGTGTCGGCAGTGATGCGTCAACAGCGGTGAGTGTAGGGTTACACGTTAACAGTGGTGAGTGTAGGGTTACACGTTAACAGTGAGTGTAGGGTTACACGTTAACAACAGTGAGTGTAGGGTTACACGTCAACAGCGGTGAGTGTAGGGTTACACGTTAACAACAGTGAGTGTAGGGTTACACGTCAACAGTGGTGAGTGTAGGGTTACACGTTAACAGCGGTGAGTGTAGGGTTACACGTTAACAGTGGTGAGTGTAGGGTTACACGTCAACAGTGAGTGTAGGGTTACACGTCAACAGTGAGTGTAGGGTTACACGTTAACAGTGGTGAGTGTAGGGTTACACGTTAACAACAGTGAGTGTAGGGTTACACGTTAACAGTGGTGAGTGTAGGGTTACACGTTAACAACAGTGAGTGTAGGGTTACACGTCAACAGTGAGTGTAGGGTTACACGTCAACAGTGAGTGTAGGGTTACACGTTAACAGTGGTGAGTGTAGGGTTACACGTTAACAGTGAGTGTAGGGTTACACGTTAACAACAGTGAGTGTAGGGTTACACGTTAACAGTGGTGAGTGTAGGGTTACACGTTAACAGTGAGTGTAGGGTTACACGTTAACAGTGGTGAGTGTAGGGTTACACGTTAACAACAGTGAGTGTAGGGTTACACGTTAACAGTGAGTGTAGGGTTACACGTTAACAACAGTGAGTGTAGGGTTACACGTTAACAGTGGTGAGTGTAGGGTTACACGTTAACAGTGAGTGTAGGGTTACACGTTAACAGTGGTGAGTGTAGGGTTACACGTTAACAACAGTGAGTGTAGGGTTACACGTTAACAGTGAGTGTAGGGTTACACGTTAACAACAGTGAGTGTAGGGTTACACGTCAACAGTGAGTGTAGGGTTACACGTCAACAGTGAGTGTAGGGTTACACGTTAACAGTGGTGAGTGTAGGGTTACACGTTAACAGTGGTGAGTGTAGGGTTACACGTTAACAGTGAGTGTAGGGTTACACGTTAACAGTGGTGAGTGTAGGGTTACACGTTAACAACAGTGAGTGTAGGGTTACACGTTAACAGTGGTGAGTGTAGGGTTACACGTTAACAACAGTGAGTGTAGGGTTACACGTCAACAGTGAGTGTAGGGTTACACGTCAACAGTGAGTGTAGGGTTACACGTTAACAGTGGTGAGTGTAGGGTTACACGTTAACAGTGAGTGTAGGGTTACACGTTAACAGTGGTGAGTGTAGGGTTACACGTTAACAACAGTGAGTGTAGGGTTACACGTTAACAGTGAGTGTAGGGTTACACGTTAACAACAGTGAGTGTAGGGTTACACGTCAACAGTGAGTGTAGGGTTACACGTCAACAGTGAGTGTAGGGTTACACGTTAACAGTGGTGAGTGTAGGGTTACACGTTAACAGTGGTGAGTGTAGGGTTACACGTTAACAGTGAGTGTAGGGTTACACGTTAACAGTGGTGAGTGTAGGGTTACACGTTAACAACAGTGAGTGTAGGGTTACACGTTAACAGTGGTGAGTGTAGGGTTACACGTTAACAGTGGCGAGTGTAGGGTTACACGTCAACAGTGAGTGTAGGGTTACACGTTAACAACAGTGAGTGTAGGGTTACACGTTAACAGTGGTGAGTGTAGGGTTACACGTTAACAGTGAGTGTAGGGTTACACGCAACCGTGAGTGTAGAGTTACAAGTTAACAGTGAGTGTAGGGTTACACGTTAACAGTGAGTGTAGGGTTACACGTCAACAGTGGTGAGTGTAGGGTTACACGTTAACAGTGATGAGTGTAGGGTTACGCGTTGAGCAATAGTTGTACTCACCGTTAACAGCGGTGAGGTGTAGAGTTACGCGTCAACAGTGGCGAGTGTGGAGTTAATAAGCGACAACGGCGAGTAGAGCTACGCGTTCAGTGATGGTTGCCGCTCGCCGTTCACAGCTGTGAGCGTAGAGTCACGCGAGTGGCAGGTGTAGTCGCTGTCCAGTGGTTAGTACCGAATTACGCGTCGACTTGCGTGTGTCTACGGTGGGTGTTAAGGCCACCGTTAACCGTGGCGAGTGGTGGAGGTTGGTGGCTCGTGGCAGCCTCTCTGAACCACGTCGCGTCAGCTCAGCGATCCGACCCCGTGGTGGTGGTGGTGGTGACATCACGGGGCAGCACCACGTGGGCGACGCGACCTTTAGGACTCATTTATTTACACTGGAGGAATCCGATAAGCTGCAAAGCTCTTTTTCACAAGACGTCAAAGGGTCGCACTACAATGATGATGTAATGAAGTATTTAATATGTACGAGCTCTCTTTTTTTTATTAGATAGGTACATACTTCGAGATTTGAAGCTTTCGTGACTGCAAGGATTCATACTCTTTGGTTTAGTCACGTAGGTAAAATAAATGAAAACTAAATTTTGTTTTCATTCATTTTACCTAGTGACTTTACCTAAAATAAAAACAAAGAGTAGGTACATACTTGTCAACCGCTTCGTGCCCTACCTTATTAAATACCAATTGAGACATTGGTCAACCCCCCCCCACCCCCCCTGTTCCCTTATAAATCTCAGCGTTCATCCTCAAGTCCCATCACAAGGGAAAAACAGACAACGGCTGTACACCGTATGGACCCGAAAACTCAATTTCCCTGCACAGGCGTGCTTATTTTCATTTTCAAATGCTATTTATACATGCGATATATTCCGTTATACAGTACGTGATATTTTATATCGACGTTAACTCGTCATAATTAAACCACGAAGCAAGGCATTACCAATTAGTTCTACGTTTTAAGTTAGCTCATAACGGTTAAACAATGTATAAATAATTATCCCAAATAGATAAGACACAAGAAAAAACACTTTTTATTCTTCAACCTGTTTTATGTGCATCAAAGAAAGTAACTTATCATTTCAAAGTCTTCTAAAAACAAAATTTGGTTCAAATGGCTCTCAGCTGATCATTTAGCCAGTGGCATTGGATCAACTTTTGGTCAACTCCAGATCGCCAAAATGGAGGGAACTTGCCATAAGTGAATCGGTAAGTTGTGGATCTTTAAACCAAAGTCTAGCGTGAACCAGAAGTTGAGCTAAATTGTATTTTAAAACCCAGGTGATAGCCCATCAAAACATGTTCTTGTGCAACGGAGACCTGGCACACTAATGTAGATTACACGAGTGCAGGTACATCATTGGTAGCGTTTCAAAATATATTTTTTAAAATTATACAAATGTATATTTTTGCTTTGGTTAATTCAATGTCATGTCAGTATTCGGAATGGAGCACTGACTAATGCAAGCTACATGGTCAGGTTAAGCTAAAATTAGTTAAAATGTTGGCAGCGGAGAAATGCATGTCACCACGTTCATAATCACAGCACATTAACCGCTCCAAGAAAAAGCGCGTTCAACGAATTCTCAATCTCTTGAAAAACACTGCAATCTACAACACTGGTATAGTTGGCATGTGCATGCACACTACGTACAGCTGAAGGCAGCATTATGCAAACCTATTGCCAATATCAAAATTGGCTTCTGACCTGTCAGAAAAATCCTTTGGTTTTCATCATTTTTGCATAACCGAGGGCTGAGAATGAATACCAACACTTCAATACTTTTGTATTTGCTTATATTTATTAAATCCGTGAATCACAAAATTCGACACCTCAAACCAGAACTTATGCATGCTCGAGACCAATGTGAATAAAGTTCCAGACTTTGCTTTCAAAAAAACTTCCTCTCCATGACAATATTGCATTGGCAGTGTTTTAAAGCCACAAGGTACGCGTCTTAAACATTTTTAGGGGCATCCGATGCCATAAATACATCTTATTACAGCAATAGTGCAGTGCAAAAGGTTACCCACCATGGCTGGTACACAAACTAATAATATAGTGCATGACCAACAATCGAAAAATAAACTGAGCATTTCTAATGCAAGTGTTTTGGTTTTTATAGTTATACAATCACGCGAGGCTGCAGAAATTCATTTGCGACGGCTCTTTTGTGAAGCCATCTCCAAATCCATCGGTCTCCTGCAGGACGGGCAGCTCATTGCACATCGGGCACTTTTTGTTGCGTAGGTATGAGCAACGCATCCACAGGATGAGGTTGAGGCGCTCGCCAGCCGTGATCGGCTTCGCACCGTGCATTTGTTGGCCCCGGTGCAAGATGCCGTAGCCCCTGCGGTGACCAACCTCCACAGATTCTCCCCCTTGTTCCTAGGGAAGAAAAAAATTGTTAAATTAGGAATCAGTCTAAATGCAACTGCAGCTCAAAACGTTACCCATTTAGAAAACCGTGAGCATTATTTAATTTATAAAAGTCAAGTCAGGAGGAGAAAAAAAAGGTATTGAGCTTGGAGATTAAGAGCATGGTGTCGAACGCAAGGATGGCTAGAGAGAGTTCCAGACTATGGGGGCGGCAGAGGAGCACGAGTAACCTCCCAATAAATGAAGGTCGACCTCGAGACCGACAGGAAAGTCTACGTTGGAGGCGAGTGCGTTGATAGGTCATCCCAGCATTTGAAAACAACGATTACTAGTCCAAAGCGTCACCATGTTTGGTGACAAGCCGACTGCATATTTTGTAAGCATGTGCTAAACTCCTATTACACTTATTGCACTCACGACAAAATGGAAAAGTGCATGCAAGAATGGACTCCGTACAATTTAAAATGTTAGCTATACTCGAAAGGCATTGATACAAAAAGTGATTCAAAAGGAGACGGTAAAATGGCAGCCAAAACCAAGCCATTCTTGAACAAAACCCCAACCCCTCCAGTTGTGACAATCCATAAATGACCGCTGCCTTTCCAAAAAAACCCACATGGCCGCACCTCCCTCATGTCGGCAAGATACAGGTTCCCTCCGGTGAAGTCTTTTCCGAGGCATACGTTGAGCGTAACCTCTGCGTTGTCAAAATGCAGGGAGAGCCCAGGCTCCATCTCAGACGTGTACTTGACAATGAATGCCTTGTGAGAGTCAAGCGAGCTGCCCCCCTTGTCAGGGTAGAGCAGTGCAGTGATGGGACGCAAGTAGTCTTCCCGCAGCGGGGAGATTAGCTCCTCGTCGCAGCCCAGCTCATCCAGGTTTACCTGAACAATTCAGTTGAAGGGTTTGCATCATTAAAAGGGCACACAAAAGGCATTTATAATCCAAACTTGTGGAGTCATTTTTCACCGTTTCAAACAAGCAATCACGATGCCAAGTTAAATGATGAAGCCCTGTAAACTGAGCTAACAGTAAAGGATTGAGATAAGAGTAAAAGCTTGAGTGCAATTGTCAGCGTGCCAGACCTGACATTTACCCTTACACTTGATTCAGCAACCCAGTAGTGACGTAATCAAAACCGACTCCGTTAGGAAGAGGCCTTTATCCAAGAGTGGATTGACATAAAGGGCTGTAAATGATTTATAATGGATTATTAAATTCACGTTTGCATCCACAGTACTGTGGTTTAGATACAATTTTAGAAAACCGAGTCCAACAATATGTAATGTAAACACTTTACAATGCAATTTATATTTTAAAAAAGTGGGTTCCAACCTGCTCAAGGCTACGAAGCAGCATTTGTAAAACAAGTGCAGATGTTCACTTTTTGTTAATGTGGGTTACAATTTTAGGGTTGACAGTCTAAAAAAAAAGTAGCCAACCCATCGAAGAAAGTAGCCTTCTTACAGAGCGTTACTCGCACAGGCTGGTTGGTTATATTAGCGAATGTATAACCAGTATTCCGGTTCAGTCTTAAAGAATTGGGTATTGTCGAATCCAAAAAAATGCCACATCTGCAACGAGTCAAGAACCCTGCTGGTAGAGCAGGGCACTTGGCAAGTGAATCGCGAGGAGAGAAGTGCACTTACCCCGTAAGTGTTCATACTGTTTGGTTGTCCCTTGGGCATGTCGCTCGACTCAAAATGTTGCAGCTCTTCCAAGAAATTGCGACAGAAATCCTCCGTGAATACAGGGAAGATGTACACGCGATCAGCTGCAGCACACGTGCGCACAGATTTTAAAGGATGTAGTGCGATATACGACTTCAAAGCAGATGTCAGTCGGTTATGCATTACAAAACCATGGTAGGAAAGTGTAAAATGTTGTGTGTATCAGCTACGGCTTGTCCACTGGATGAAAGCGACACCGACGATGTCACAAACCAAGTAAAACAATGGAATTTATATTATTCATAAAGGTTTTTGGGTTAGATCGCGTTTATTTATGTGTCGTAACCCTCCACCACCCGACACAGCCAATCAGCAAAAAAAGTGTCACGTTGACAAAAAGACAAATAATTCACTACTTTAGCCCACCGGTGTGTTGAAGAGTGATACGAGTTAAGTGATGACGTCACCCTGCTGCTCTATATAAAACCGGGAGCAAGCGAGGGCTTCACCATTCTGGCGAATTGCCCGATGATGCTGGATATATTTACCAGCGAAACGTCGTACTCAAACTGTAAATGTGGATTCACTCAACACACCAGTGGGCTAAAGTAATGAATTATTTGTCTTTGTCAACGTGACACTTTTTTTGCCGATTGGCCGTGTCGGGTGGTGGAGGGTTACGACACATTTATAAATAAACACGATCTAACCCAAAAACCTTTATTATGAATAATATTGGTCGCGAAAGCCTACATGTTAAACGGAATTTATATTCTCTGAAAACCGAAATTAATCCACAAATGTGTTGGCAGCTGGGTAATGATACTTTTAATGTCAAGTTGGCTTGCATGGTCAAAAAGACTGATATAGGATAAGGCCATCTACCCATCAAGAGATATACTGTGTGAACATCACAATTTTATGGGTATGCTTCTCTTGGCTCAGTGCATCGTTTGAAGTGCAAAACAACTTTTAAACGTTTACTTAAAATATTAATTGCATTTACAAATAGCAACTATGCTTGCATCTTGCTACTTTGATTTGCACATAAGCAACAGTGCGTTCCAGCATAACGTCTAGACAAACGGATTTTAATTAAACTACAAAGTTGGCAATACCTACATAATTTAAAAACGTGTCATAATAAGGTACCCAGAGAAGGGTTAGTAAACTGAAGCCCAAATGAATTAGTGACTTTTGAAGAATGCTTAAATTGGGAAGAGGATGCAACTTAAATTCAGAATGACAGTAACGCCCACGTAAACTCTTGCCCCACTGCCGCAGAATTGCTGTAAGTGCAGAGTTTGAATTTACCCAACAGATTTCAAAGTCTCAGCATGTAAACAAATATGGGTACACATTATTTTCGGCAAGATGCTTGGCAATAAACGTTTTTTTTTGCATAGAGTACTGCATAACAACGCAAACAATCTTGGTCACGAGACGAATTCACAAAAACATGTTTGCAGTCCCGTTGGTATTGTTAGATTTTTCCATCTCATTTGCAGTTTCGTTGGCTCCATTAGTTTAAATGTAAAATTAATATACATGCTGAATACACTTAGAATAAACGGTAAATAATTCAGTCACACACAAAAACATGCATTGCAAGCATAAACCATAAATTATAAAAATCAACAAATCCATGCAACATTACACAGCTATCAGAGGTGCTACATTACGATACAACACGGATTAACAGCGTTTTTGTTTTATGTGCAGTGCATGACATTACGTTGTTACACCATGTACCTTGAACTTCTTCGACTCGCTGCAGGATCCCATCAAAGCAGGCATCATAAGATTTGCAGTATTCTACCAACTCCCGGAATTCCGGAGCCAGAAAAGAGGGCTGGGGAGGGGGGTAAAATATTGCACAATCACGTGGCACAAACTTTAAAAGTGTAGATAAAAATAAGTAGTTTGTCACATTTTTGCTGTTTTTTTTTATTAAACAATATTTACAATTCAGACAGATTGCTTGTTGAATTCTGAATTTGAAATACAACTCACAATTGTGGAACGATAGCAGTGTATAGCCGTGGTTAGCGCATTGTTACGAACCGGGTGACCAGCGTTTGATTCATAGCCACGGCTAACATCATTGGCGCGTTATATCAATTTGTCCTGTGTTACCCACCCCTCCTCCTTTCACCAACAAGTGTGGTGAAAGTCAATCATTCCCCCATGACTGATAAGACTTGAGAAAAGCTTTCATGCAACAGTGGATTGGACAAGGTGGCTTGGAACTTAAAATCAAATGTGTGGGAAACGGTTTCCAAACGGTGGATTGTAAAATATCATGCATGTCGAATGTATTTCGTAGCCAACAGTGCTAATCGGAGGTGTGGGGTAAAGGCCACCTAAAACACACAAAAGTGGTCATGTCTGGCATAGTACAGCACGATGCCAAAAGCAAGCTTCCTGGTACCACCTCACCTGTAGTTTGTATACGTGAGGATGAAGAGGCTTGTACAACTGCCGTATGGTCCTCTTACTTTCCAGGTAATTTTTTCCGAGAGACTTGCGCCGTTTTATTTCATCCTCAATCTGCAGCCACATTTAAGGAGGCAAAACATCATGGCTGGCAGCGTGTCATTTCGTCAAGAAGTGATCGTTAATTCAGTTTAAAACGCCTACAAAAGCCCATAGGCGTTTCACGCCTAAATCATCCCAGTAATAATAGTCATAATTTAATTAAGATTGTTATTTTTAGATTTGCTTTTACAATCCAATTTGTATTCTCATGCATTCCACATTATTCGTACAGTTGCCTACATCTTTAACTGAAATTTAACCAATTTGAATTTGGCACAAACCATAAATCATCATAGGCACAACGATGATTGCATCGCGAGCACAAGTACGGATTTTTTTTAGAAATCGGTGCATCATTACCGTACACGTTTAACTGGCACAGGCAAAAGTACGTCAAACTATTACGGTCCTTTAAATAAAGCAAAGAAAAAAGCGTTAAGATGATGGCCTAGTCACATAAACATGTTACGATTTGGGCAAGCTGCCCTTGCCACTACACACTTTAAAAATGCCCAGAATATCCTAGAAGACCAGGTGGTTGCACAACTTGTAACCTAGCACTTTGGCGGCAAGGATTGGTCGATATCAAAAATGTGAAATTCCCAAACCCACTTGGCCGAGGCGGTCAAGAGACTGCAGCCAAACAAATCAGAAATCCTTCTGTGCAGTATGCGGTGTGGTGTCCGTTTGCTCTCACGCGCAGAGATGTAATTGGCCAAACATCCAAGTAATAGTCTTGAGATTGTGAGGCTCTTCTGGATAAAGTAGATCACACCGAGGGAGCAATGGTATAGCGGACCACACACTTTGCTTTGAATCCAGGGATCAGTTAGATTTCTGACAATGGCAAACATCGGTGCCAAGCGATATCTTAACCTGGTACTTCTCCCCTACTGCTTCACAAATCCAGTGGCAGATCCAACGAGGTCTGATCAAGGGTCTTACCCCTTCCTCCTCACCTCGTTAAGCACACCAGCGGATTGCAAATCACAAATTCACTTCGGGCAACTTTAAGGCATCAAAACCAAAAGAGTAGCGGGAGTCAAAAGTTTAAAAGAGTTTATGGCTTAACCTCAAGACAGTCGCATACCACATTAAAGATTTACATGCCAGACGTAAATGGCAACTCACGTTTTTTACGATGTTCGTGAACTTTTCCGAGTTGCAACCTTTACTCACAAAATACTGTGGAGGCAAAGGGGGGTAAAATGTCATTCAAGCAACATTAGCAGATCAATTAGCCACGTTAAAATGAGCCGCTACACCGTGGTGGAAGAATTACAAATGAATTACCGTGTCACGGGAGTAGATTACAAATTATAAAACATACAAAAAAAATTGTGATTATATAATCCCATTATACCTAGAGCCGTCCACCACCTGACTTGGGGTAAAAACTAGTATTAAAAAGGGGGGGGGTGGGGGGGAAAAGCCCCCCGTGGAGTTAAAAACTTAAATTAATTCCAGTAAACGTCAGCGCTGGTGCGAGGTGGCTCAGAATCCCACACGGCGTGTCGCGTTCCGACCGTACCGAGCTATATTGTCGCCAGAACGCCGCCTTGGTCGTGAACGTCACGAACATCTCGTACTCGGGCACGAAGATGTTTTTCGAGTAGAAACATTTGCACGTGTAGAAACGCTTAATCGGCTCCGTATCCGCCAAATCTTGGAGTCTTTTATCGAGAGGCCTTTTCTCGGTTGGCGGTTCAGCGCCGGACGTTGCATTGACAGTCTTAGCCCCTGTATTATCGGCCTCCTTGGACTCTGCATCCCGAGACCCACCTTCATCTGAACATGCCTCCTTAGCCTCGCCTTCATCTGAACATGCCTCCTTAGCCTCACCATCATCTGTACATGCCTCCTTAGCCTCAACATCATCTGTACATGCCTCCTTAACCTCACCATCATTTGTACATGCCTCCTTAACCTCACCATCATTTGTACATGCCTCCTTAACCTCACCATCTGAACATGCCTCCTTAACCTCACCATCTGAACATGCCTTCTTAGCCTCAACTTCATCTGAACATGCCTCCTTAACCTCACCATCTGAACATGCCTTCTTAGCCTCAACTTCATCTGAACATGCCTCCTTAACCTCAACTTCATCTGAACATGCCTCCTTAACCTCACCTTCAGCCATACCTTCCTTAGACCCAGCTTCAGCTAAACCTGCATCTTTAGTCCCAGCTTCCTTGGACCCAGCTTCATCTGAACATGCCTCCATTTCATGCCCTACCTCTCTTTCCTCTACTGCCTCTGCCATGTGTACAAAACGACGATGCACTACGGAGCTGTATTTACATATGCAAACGTATTGCTTATTTACTTCATGCACGACATTAAAGATGGCATTACACACAAAACGGCACTAATCAACCTGCCATGCAACAAGACAAAGAGCTGTCCAACGTCAACTTGGATTTACGAGCACACCAGGACAGAAACCCCAAGGCTGCGTCGCCCTTCTCGGAATCGCCACGTCCTCCGTACGACAAAAGTCCTACGTCCAACCCCGCGCTTACGGTCACTTTCTGCCCCACCACACAGCGACCACCACCACCACCACCACCGCCGCCGCCCCGCGGGAGCCCAAGGGCGGCTCGCGCCTCGACCTACGGGGGGGTGTGGAAGCTGTGCACGCACAACCGGACGCCACACACACAGAGAGCGAGGGAAACAAAAACCACAACTAACAAAACGCCTAAAAGCTTTCAAACTCGCAACGTCAACAACTCGGCCGACTCGGCCCCCCCACCAAAGCTGCTACGACAACGCCGGGCAGCGTGGTGAACCAAACACTGCGCACCTCCCGGACCCAGCCGCCGTGTTGGCGATTTATACAGATTCGCCAACGAATCTGTTAAGGCGCGATCATGAGTTGCGTCAATCGGAGTTTAATTTTTTTTTAAAAAAAATAATGTAAACTTTAAAACCTCGTTATTTCGGTATTTTTCGTAATTGGATATAATTCGGCACGGCTGTATAGACTATATATACACGGTAGTTTAACACGTAGGCTTTCCCGATCAATATTATCCATAATAGGGGGGGGGGGGGGGATTTGGGGGGGAGGGGCGGGGTTTACATCGCGTGAATATGCACGCGATCTAAAAAAAACCCACCTCTTATGGAGAGTATCTATATATATTTTAAAATACTGTTTGAAATGTATATATTCCAGTAACTGTTTTAATTGATGGATGAAATGCGTACTGAAGCAAACTGTTGCAGCATGAAAAAAATGGGAACGAGATGTGTTGTTTTTGTACAGTATTGCAATTGAGAATTGTTAATGTATATTCACAAGGTAATTCATAAAATACATGATTTGAGATTGACCTATTTTTTTTTTACAATTGTAAGTTATCTCCTCGAATGGCTGAAACAATATTGTTTCTCGGTTTGAATTAGTTCCCATCTGATTTTTTTTTAAACAATGATTGATTGTGTGATTAACTAGTCCAGAGACTTGTGCAACTATTGTGTTCAGCTCTGTAAGAAACATCATCTTAATTGCGGCTACACAACTCCCTGTGAACAGTTCATAACTCTCTAACTCTTCATAAACTAAGCCAATACCCTCAAAAACAATGTACAATTAAAGATAAAATCCTCTGACAACGTCATGTAATACCAATCTTTGCTGCTTAAACAAATGCATTTTTAAAATGTATTACTAGTAGGCCCACGGGGTCATGGACATGATTATTTAAATGTTATTTTACCTGGTTACGGCCCACTGAGCTGTATAGCACTTTTTTCAGAAGCGACCTGGCACACAAATGATAGCCCAATGAAGTGGCTTATCACGTGGAAATTTATAGCAGCCAAATTACTCTAAATACGTGATTCTAAATGTGCAAGGAAAACCCGGAGGACCCGAAGAAAACCCACTTTACTACGGTGAGAGAGAACACGCAAACTCCAATTATACAGGCGTTAGGATCGGGATAGAACCCACGAACCTCCTGGATACCAGGCGAGGTCGTTAACATCTCACCACCACTGGTTTTGCCCAATCGTGCAATTGGCATCACGTTTTAAAATGATTCCACGAGGAATTCTCGCACAGCAGTTCTAACCAGTGTTATAGAGAACGGTCCTCGGAAGCAAATATCACAGTACTACTTAAGTACATTCAAGTCACTGGATATCTGTGAAAAAGAGCTTTACATCTCATCGAATTCCTCCAGTATAAATACATATTCTGATTCTGAAACACTAGGGACAGCACCACCTGCCCTGGTATAGTTCGTCAAACATAAATATACAATTCTCACGGGTGGAATTTAGCCAAATGAAATGCAGAACCAGATTTTAATATAATTGTTTGTGTGTGCAGTAAATTGGTGGTGGCCTGGGTGGGAACAATCAACTCGCTGCTGCAATTGAGAAACTGGTTTAATCAGAGTTTTTTTGCATTGCTCGCAGGTGAAATGAGGTGCCTAAGGTTTGTCTTGATCCCCGACAGGCATGCTGAAATATGCCTTGTAGGCCTCGCACATCTTAGCAGATGCTTCCACAGAGTATTTTTTCGCTCTTGTCTTGATAAATTGGCCGCAGACATAGCAAAATGCGTCTTCCGGATGCTTGCAGCCTCTTGATGCCGTCTCAGAAAAATGCAGATATGTATCCACTTAGGCAGCTGGAACTAAACTGAACTGGTGGGCTTAAGGCCCCTGTATTTATACTACTATTTATATTACTGGAACGTTCTAGAATGTTCTAGAAGTTACTCCACGTTTACTAAGCACTGAATCTATCTGGAATGTTCTGGAAAATAGGTATATTTCAAAATAGCATTGTGCTGGTCACAAAAGCAAAGTTTGTAGGGTATAATAGCCATTTTTTTATACTTTTTAGGCATAAGCAATTCGTACCCAGGAACAAAAAACAAAAAATTGTGTTACATAATTTTATCAATTACTGTAATTAGTCATTCTATGTATTTTGACATTTTCTGTCTACAATGATGAGGTGCGTCAATCGAAAGCAACGATCGATTTCAATTGACCAAATCGATGCATCATTATACCTCTAAACCACTGGTTCAATGCTCATTCAACATAATCGAGGGCCCATCCACCTAACAACCTACCCACCTAACCACCTACCCACCTAACCACCTACCCACCTACCCATCTAACCATCTAACCACTTATCCACCTAACCACCTACCCACCTAACCACCTAACAACCTACCCACCTACCCACCTAACCACCTACCCACCTAACCACCTACCCACCTAACCACCTACCCACCTAACAACCTACCCACCTAACCACCTACTCACCTACCCACCTAACCACCTAACCACCTACTCACCTACCCACCTAACCACCTACTCACCTACCCACCTAACCACCTACACACCTAACCGCCTAACCACTTATCCACCTACCCACCTACCCACCTAACCGCCTAACCACTTATCCACCTACCCACCTACCCATCTACCCACCTACCCACCTAACCAACCTACGAACCCCACCGCTCCTCAACAACAGTGGCAAGGGTGCTGGGGGGGGGTTGAGATCTTATTTATTCACGATGTGCTTACAAAAAAATCCGCAGACTACCTACTGGATCTCCTCTCTGTTTCAAAGAACAAATTTGACCTCAGGTCTTCGCTCATTTACCAGCTTCACATTCCTTATTGATGCCCCCAGGGTTTGGAATGCTATTGCCAATAAACTGCAACTTGAATCACTACCTATGAGATCTTCACTCAAAACTGCTCTAGAGCAGTTGTACACCCCTAACTGCCACTGCTATTCAGTGGCCTAAAATATGGCTCTAGGGTTTGGTGTTATAATTTATTTATGTAGTTTATTGGTAAAAATTCGGTCACAGTCCCTATGATCACTGTTACATTGCATTTATAGCTTTTATTTTGGTGATTTCGAAAAGTTTTTTTGGTTTGGCCATGTTTTTGTTTATTGGAGTACGGAGTTAGACTGATGGCCTTAATCTTAGTTGTCTTGTGGTTGTTGTTTGACTTCAATCCCACTGGGATTTTTGTACACAGCGTTAGTGTACGGTGCTATTTCAGGAATATTTTGATGGTTTTTTTCCTGGATTTTCTGTTTGCACACGCACAAAGTCACTTTAAGATGTCTTCCTGTTCATGTTTTTGTTTTTTGTTTGTTGCGGTTGCACCCGATTCAAGAGCCGAATGGCTCACAGGGCTATACCAAAATAAATGGAACTATGAACTATGAGACATTATTTTCTGGTACCCAGCCCAGGACAGCTCCCTCCCCCCCACCTCCTCCCCCCCCCCCACGTGGCCACGCGAATCGGCATCTGCGCAAATCGGCAGCTGCGACTCCGGCGCGGCGGGAGGCTGCCGCTGCGATAGACGAACGCATGGCGCCGCTCCGCATCAGACACGTCGTGTCGTTCACCTCCCAGGTGTGAGCCTCTTCCTCGCGCGCGCCCCCCCCCCACAACCCTCGCCGATCGATTAATCGATCATCGTCACCGCTTGACGTTTTTTTTTTTGCCAACGAGAGCTGCTGCGTCGGGGGTGGCGTCGCTCGCGTGTTTACTGCGGGCGGCTTTGGCGGGAAATAGAAACCTGGTCGGCCCTGTGCGTGGTGTGGATTGGAGTTGGTGTTCGTACAACTCCCGAGATCGCATCGTTATTGTCTCTTGTGTCGAGTTTCTGCAAGGCAATGAGGGTGACGCGTGTGGTTTTTTGGGGGGGGGAGAGGCGGGGGGGGCAGAGTGTTAATTGTTACATTGACAACATGCACTGGTAGACGGAATGTGGTTTGCCTCCAGGCACTCTCGATTTCATTGCCAGCAGTAGCTGCTGCTGCTTGAACGCGAATTGCAACAAACATTGAGCAACAGGCCGGTGCCCGCACATCTTCGTAAACGGGGGGGAATCAAATACACAAGCCACGGTAGTGCGATTGTGACTATGCAACCCAAACTTATCTCCATATATATAAAAAGGCAAAGTTGTGAATATGTGTGTCTGTTCAAAATGTTTAGTGTACTTGCCGACGTGCAACAAACTTGAAATTTGCCATGTGGGTACTTTCCAGACTGTACACCATGCAAACATAAAAATTAATTTTGATTTAAAGCTTTCGTGACTGCAGTAATCCATATTCTTAGTTTTTTCGGTAAAGTCACGTTGAAGAGAAACAACAAAATAACAAAATATATATATAAAAAAATTCTCACGACGTCGTGACTTTACCGAAAAAACTAAGAATATAAAAATTAATGTTTCTTTTTTTTGCACGGCAAGTGAGCTGTGACGTCAAATCTGTCACGTGACCCTCGCATGTGGAAGCGTAACGCATTGTAGTGTAGTGGTTAGCGCGCTGTGTATGTGTCTGTGTGTCTGTCTTGTGTGTGTGTGGAAGCGTAACGCATTGTAGTGTAGTGGTTAGCGCGCTGTGTATGTGTCTGTGTGTGTCTGTATGTGTGTGTGGAAGCGTAACGCATTGTAGTGTAGTGGTTAGCGCGCTGTGTATGTGTCTGTCTGTGTGTGTATGGAAGCGTAACGCATTGTAGTGTAGTGGTTAGCGCGCTGCGCTACGAACCCGGCGACCCCAGTTCGATTCCCGCTCAGGGCCACCACCTGTGACGATTATTTTTAACGGTCCTGGGCCTCCCCTAGGTTGAATCAGCATCAAACTAGTAACTGCTGTGGTGTGTGAACATCGCCACTGGGGAGACAAAAGCGGCCGGGCGTGGTGAATCCAAGTCCCGGGCGAAGCCGGGTAGTACAGCTCGTGGACCATATAGTATAATACCTTATCGGTGCCTCCCATATTACAGGCCAATTCAGACCTTATTGGTCACCCCGTGCCCTTTATAAATCTCAACGTTCATCCTACAACGTCCCATCACAAGGAAGAAACAAACAATTGGACACAAAAAATGTCCCCGTACTGAAACGGCTGTAACGCCGTGTTGACCTGAAAACTCAATTTCCCTGTACAAGAATACGGGTAAACCCATACGGGTTGACAGATGTGTAATAATAAACCACTTTCCTCTGCGTCCCTTCAACGTAGGAGGAGATACTGTATATCAGAACTACACAAACTCACTGCCGAAGCCTTATCGTCTTGGGCTGACAGACATTGTCATTTCGCTCCTTGACATTTTATTGCTATACGCAAGAGTGGTACAAATATTCCGTCCATTCGTCAATCCACTGCTGGATGAGACCTTTCCACGCCCTGTCGGCCATATGGTTTGTTTAACCATGCTTCTCCACGCCGGTCAGTGTGGGTTCGTAGTGGGCCCAGCAAGATAGGTTCAGATATCGTCACATGGTGCACATCTGGGTGGTTTCGTCTTAGGCCAGATATTGTACGTTAAAACAGAATTAAGCCTTATGCCATGCAACAAGAGAGCAGTGTTCACCAACACAGTAATTGTTGTACTGTATCCCTATGCTCCCCGCCTTCAACCCACACTGGCTAGCGCGGTGAAGTATGGTCAAGTGACTCCCATGACGCACACGACAATGTATCTAGAAGGAGCTTAACAGTCTACGCCTGTTATAATAGGAATTGTGGCGCGCAGTCGTGATTTGATTAAAGAATACAGAAGATCGTTTTTCACAATGAATGCAGCAGCCGATAGTGGTTGGAAGAGGCATTTGAACCCATTATATATAATCTTTCACATTGAAAAAAACATACCGCGATGACATGGATGTATCGTTGGGTCAAGAATCGATATTAATAAATCGATGCATATTACACCCCCAGTAAATGGGCCGTCTAATTAGACTTCAAAGTTTGGTTCATGTGAAACAGAATGATCATGTAAGCTATATTGGAGTAATGTCAATACAGTGCCACAATGACACCCATGACTTTACTTCAGACTGTTTACTCAGTGCACCTTCTCAACATTTCTCGGGACACAGTCTAGATTGTACGTATCAACAAGACCAAGCGATTTTTAGAAAGACATTTTAGCCCCAGGTTACGTTATTCCTACCTCCCCCAGTGTGCGCCTCGATGCGAACGCTTTGTGCGTGCCTTTGCGCTCTTCGCCTTGGGGAATGCAGGACCCCGACCACCCAGCACAGGGGCTGCTGGCGGGCGAGCGTTGGCTCTGCGATCCGTCCGACCGCAGTGGCCTCATGCGCGCAGAGCTGCAGCTGGAGCTGGCCAGTCTCATCGCCTACATCGACATCGGTGCGTGAGCGTGTTGGCCGCGCAGGACAGTGGTCGGGGCGTAGTTTGAAGACGTTGAGTCCTGTCTCCGATACGACTGTCCCCCGCAGATATATTTATCCAAAAATAGACCATAGCTTTGTCAAATTGCAGACTTTCCCCTTGGGCCGAGTTTACTCGATAACGAGCCCTTTGCAACGCCCGCTTCTTTACCTTTCAGCAGATTAAATATGAAGGGATGCCACTTCCAGTTTTAATTCATGGTTAGGAGTTACGTTTAGTAGTGCACATGGAATCGTGCACGATTGTCATGCATGATTCCATGTGCAGTTTTGAAGGTATAAGAATATATTTTTTTATTGATTAATCTATGCATTTGTTACATGTCTAATCAACAGGTTTAATAGTGTGACGTATCGTCTTAAAGCTGTTTGACGCAGGGAGACATTCCTGGTGATGCGCAAGGAAATATAAATGTAGCTTATTGCTTAAGCTTTAATTGCAGTTAATAATAACATTTGGCCATAACATTAGCACAGACTGGTTTTGTCTTTTGAAATACATTATGCGATTGGTCATGGATGCTCGTCACAATTTTGGACTTCATTGTTATGCATTACTCTCCATGGAATATCCTGTGACCAAATCAGCTGGAATGCACCTGATCTCATCAGATCTCAGAAAATAAACACGGTGGAGCCTGGATAATGGCTGAATGGGCCTCCACCATATACAAACAGGTTTTTATAGGCTGCTGTGGAGCTACATTTTGAGCAGAAAAGGGCAGCAGCAACACCCATTGTTGTACTTCTATGCCTCTTGTACAGTGAGGGTATTTGATCCCCTGCTGATTTTGTTCGTTTGCCTACTGACAAAGAAATGATCAGTCTATAATTTTTATGGTAGGTTTATTTGAACAGTGAGAGACAGAATAACAACAACAAAATCCAGAAAAATGCATGTTAAAAATGTTATAAATTGATTTGCATTTTAATGAGGGAAATAAGTATTTGACCCCCTCTCAATCAAAAAGATTTCTGGCTCCCAAGTGTCTTTTATACAGGTAACGAGCTGAGATTAGGAGTACACTCTTAAAGGGAGTGCTCCTAATCTCAGCTTGTTACCTGTATAAAAGACACCTGTCCACAGAAGCAATCAGTCAATCAGATTCCAAACTCTCCACCATGGCCAAGACCAAAGAGCTCTCCAAGGGTGTCAGGGACAAGATTGTAGACCTACACAATGCTGGAATGGGCTACAAGACCATTGCCAAGCGGCTTGGTGAGAAGGTGACAACAGTTGGTGCGATTATTCTCAAATGGAAGAAACACAAAAGAACTGTCAATCTCCCTCGGCCTGGGGCTCCATGCAAGATCTCACCTCGTGGAGTTGCAATGATCATGAGAACGGTGAGGAATCAGCCCAGAACTACACGTGAGGATCTTGTCAATGATCTCAAGGCAGCTGGGACCATAGTCGCCAAGAAAACAATTGGTAACACACTACGCCATGAAGGACTGAAATCCTGCAGCGCCCGCAAGGTCCCCCTGCTCAAGAAAGCACATATACATGCCCGTCTGAAGTTTGCCAATGAACATCTGAATGATTCAGAGGACAACTGGGTGAAAGTGTTGTGGTCAGATGAGACCAAAATGGAGCTCTTTGGCATCAACTTAACTCGCCGTGTTTGGAGGAGGAGGAATGCTGCCTATGACCCCAAGAACACCATCCCCACCGTCAAACATGGAGGTGGAAACATTATGCTTTGGGGGTGTTTTTCTGCTAAGGGGACAGGACAGCTTCACCGCATCAAAGGGACGATGGACGGGGCCATGTATCATCAAATCTTGAGTGAGAACCTCCTTCCCTCAGCCAGGGCATTGAAAATTGGTCGTGGATGGGTATTCCAGCATTACAATGACCCAAAACACACGGCCAAGGCAACAACGGAGTGGCTCAAGAAGAAGCACATTAAGGTCCTGGCGTGGCCTAGCCAGTCTCCAGACCTCAATCCCATAGAACATCTGTGGAGGGAGCTGAAGGTTCGAGTTGCCAAACGTCAGCCTCGAAACCTTAATGACTTGGAGAATATCTGCAAAGAGGAGTGGGACAAAATCCCTCCTGAGATGTGTGCAAACGTGGTGGCCAACTACAAGAAACGTCTGACCTCTGTGATTGCCAACAAGGGTTTTGCCACCAAGTACTAAGTCATGTTTTGCAGAGGGGTCAAATACTTATTTCCCTCATTAAAATGCAAATAAAATGTTTACATTTTTGACATGCGTTTTTCTGGATTTTTTTGTTGTTTTTCTGTCTCTCACTGTTCAAATAAACCTACCATAAAAATTATAGACTGATCATTTCTTTGTCAGTGGGCAACCGTACAAAATCAGCAGGGGATCAAATACTTTTTTCCCTCACTGTACCTATGCTCCTTGCCTTCACCAACCCGCACTGACTAGCGTGGTAAAGAATGATCAAATAACCGTACGGTGTGGCGAGGCTCTCATTTAGCAATGGATGGATGAAAAGGCTGTATATGTACGTGATGGTGAAAATCTGCTGACGTGTCAAAACTTGACTTGTGCCCGCATTCACTTTGTGATGTTGTCGTGTTGTGTAGGGACAGTCGGCGTGGGCCTTCTGCAGGTGGAGGTGGGCCGCTCCTCATGGGCCCAAGACACTGCGTTCCTCACTCTTCTCCCCACAACCGTTCTGCTGTCGGCAGCACAGTCCAAGGCCAAACACAATGAAACGTCGGTGCGCATGTTCAACTCGGGTAGGTGGCCACCCAGACAGCATAGCAGGTGCACGCTTGAGTGCGCGTATGTGTTTTAAACATTTGTAAGTGCATCTGCTGGATGAGGGCCTTCCCACTCGGTGCAGGTCGTGGGGGTTCTTTGACCATGCTTCACCATGCTGGTTGACGCAGTGTTGGTGAAGGTGGGGTTTGCACAGACACGTGAGCGTGGAAGTATATAACAACAATGGCTTTTGCCGAACCACCCTCTGCTGCCCAACGCATAACTACGCAAACCCCGTGACAACCTCTTTATGCATGGTGATTGCCCATTCAGGCACACTAACTAGGCTCAACCCTATCCTTATTTTCTGAGACGTCATCAGAACAGGTGCTTTTGAGTGACTTGGTCATAAGCGCTTGAGTTTATGGAGCCAGCTGACTTGAAAGGTGCCCATTACATATCAGTGCAGCAAATTGTGGTTGTGAACTCGATCAGTGTGAACTTTTGAGTGTTATCCCCTCATAAGCTTTTGTTTTCTCTGAGTACTCCAGTTTACTCTGACAATCAAAATTCTGTGTGAAATGTAAGTGGGCCACAAGTGCAATGTCGGACCCTTCTGAAGAAAATAATCTCAGGACTCAATGAGTGACTCATGAGTCTCAAAATAAATTCCATTTTTAATATTGTTATGTATTTGGGTTGAAGAAAACTTCACAAGGGAGGTGATGGCGGAGCGGTGGGACCGCGTGCGGGTCACTTGCACTCAACCCTTCCACAAGTCCAATCCCTTTGGAGTCACGTTCATCAGCTTTCGCACATCTGGAGACTCGGACCAGGTCACTGAGCTGGTACAGCCTTCATGTCCTGCAACACCAAGACAGGTGATTGAGGTGTGCAAAGCGTTGCTTGTACTTGCTCTACTATTTTATCACCTCACTTGAGACCATAGATCTCATGATGTTGAGGCTGCTCGTTGAAGCTAGGCACATTGCACACAGTTGTAATGTGGCTTAAGTCATATTGCATTGTTGTAAATTATTATTCACCTGTAGCTTGTGGGACGAGACCTTCCTGAGTAAAATGTGTCTTGTTTGCAGTCGGTGAAAACAAAAGACTGTGAGGATAGAGTATCCTCTAAACCATGGCTCGCCCTCCCAGCCATCCGTCGCACTTTCTTCACACCAACAGAGAGGTGAGTGAACATGGTGTAAGTTCTATACAAAGGGGGTGTGTGTTTCCTTTAGATATGCACCAAATTAAACGGTTAATAATGTATGCAGGCTTCCTTTCACGACTTAATAAATTGTCACAAATTGGACTCACACTTTGATTAAAAAGAAAAGTTATGTTTTTGTCATTGCGGTGCTTATAGAATTTATAGTAACGGATTTTATGTGAAAACAATAACAGCATCATACTATATTATACAAAATAAAGTTTTGTTGGCTGGCACGCCAGCGGACAAACACTCAGTGGTGACATTACCTCGTCTATCTACATGATAAAGTTACCCGCATCGCACAGTGTTGAGTCAGGTTTGTGCGTGCTGACATCACCACCCACCACCCACCCTCCACCCATGCCGTGTATCCCGTGTGCAAGTGCACGGGCGGTACGCGTATGAATACAAAATAATGATCACGATTCAGTGTGTCTATCTTGAGCATATTCACTTTTAATTGATGAACGTGTTCACTATTTCATGCCTAACCTAACGGTAATTGTGATGGAATTATTGTACAGGAATGAAAGAGTAGAAAAGCTGAAAGAGAGGCTGAGTCGACTAGCCCCCAAATCCAAGAGTGGCTGTGTGGACGAGAAAGCCCTTCCCAGGACGGCACGGCTGCTCCTCACGGCAGCTGCCCACTACTCGGCCACCGACGGCAGCCTTCCTCCCATCAAAGCCAACAGCCACGCTGCCCAGAGCAGCAGTTCGCCTATTGGAGAATCCACGAGTAGAGACCTCTCTGTCCGGAGATTGGCCACCACTGCTCGCACGCCCCCTGCTGTTGAATGCGGCGTCCAGCAAGCTACAGGCAAGTGCTACGTGAAACTAACTGTTCGTCCTGCTTTTATAGGCTTCCGTAAAAAACCCTGCAGTTGCTGTGATTTAATGTTGGTTAACCAGGACTGGGCACAAGCACACATAACACATTTATTTTAATATGGTGAAAAATGTGACTTAATTTTCCAATATAATATACACGTTGCTCATTTCTTCATGTACCTCATCACACACACAGGCTTTAATGATTATTTAGCAAAATATTCACTTTGGGGAATAGGTATGCACAAACATTGATGTACTGTACAGTCAGATCTAATCCTACACCCCCCGCCCCCACGTCACCAGCCTGAACTCTTGAGGTATGACACTTGTGTGAATAAACAAAGAGCTCGACATTGCATATTACTACAGTGTTAGGATTCACTGTACGTAATATCTTCCACAACCCAGCGTTACACGTAATTATGTTTCAATTATTTGCTGCGGTAGTGGGCTGAGGATGTCTGCTGATTAACGGGTTAAACAGTGCTCTGCTGTAACATGTGCTTCCTGTGCTGTGTTATCTTAACAGGTACCAGAGTTGCTGCTGTTCGCAGGGCTGCGGTTCAGACGCCTTCGGTTGTGTCGGGAAAAAAACGTCGAACAGAGGCCCAAGCGGCTGGGGCTGCCTCACCAGTTCACATGGCCACATGCACCCAGGCCCCACACGCCACCAGGTGAGCGACTCGTCAGCATGATACGCATCACATGTAACTCTACACATGAAAGCAGGCATTGCAGAATTGTACCAATGCAATGCAATTGTATTAAAAAGGATTGTCACCGGTGTAATGAATAAGTGATGTACGACAGATAGAACAACTAGGTAACCGTTGCATCTTGACCAATTGCAAAAGGGGGGAAAACAATTACCCTACATTTATTACAAAATACATATTATAGTGGTCAGTGCATCTAGAGAACTATGTAATATTATCAACATTTATAATAAACAAGTAATGCTTTGCTAACTGGGTAAGCAACATTACATTGTAACAACTTAATTGTATTTGTGTATTTTATAGGGCTGTGAAGAGCTCCATAAAATGTCCCAGTCCAGCAAGTAGTAAGGTCTGGCAGGGGGGCTTCTCGGTAGGTGCTGCGGTGACGCGCCTTCCTGTGGAGGCTCATAGGAACGTGAGAGCTGGCCCAGATCCAAACCACACGCGAGCTTGCCCCATGTGCAGTGGTGAGTCTACGCCTCTCTTGCTTAAGAAGTACCGAGCTCTTGTGTCATCCGACAGCTGTTTTATGTTTTCGGACATGACCGGTAATTAAGCACCATTTTATTGCATCTGTTGCCATTAATCGTTATGAAACCTCTGCTCTTCAAAATTCACTCTTGAGGAATCTAGATTTGATATGCGCGGTTTTAGTTTGCGTTATCTTAAAACTTCCCAAGATATTGCAAGGGTAAACCGTTGCGTCACATGGCGTGGTGACATTGCCCAGTAATCGTACATTCCTCGCTTTTGCAGAGGCTTGCTATGTTAATCTGGCAGGTCGCCCTGGTTATTAATGCGGCTGTGTTAACCATGAAAATAAGTGCTGCCTGCTTCCACAGTGGACGTTAAAGATTCCCTGACGTCATTCGAAACTAGTAGTGTGTCGGCGTCATGCTCTAAATTTGCCAAATTTGAAAAATTATATGAAAATTAAACTTAACACTAATGTTCCCTACTAGCAGACTATGTTCATCTATGAAACGTAATAGCCCTGCACTATAACATTGACATGCATACCAAATGTACTAAACAATTATTATTGTATACTGCAGCAGAGTAAGGTTTATACAATTAGATCATTTAATAACTAGCCAGTTCCCGTGCTAAGCTGGACTCCACTTTGAACTGCAGGAAGCGAAATACCCGCTGCCGTTTATACAGTTCATTATACTTTAAAGATAATTGACTGCTTGCATGTTAAGTGAGTGAATTATGCATTGAGGATGATCTCTTTTTCTTTGCAGGTTTGTTCAACATGGAGCAGCTCCTGGTCCACGCAGCCACTTGTGGAGATGAATTACAACAGGTGCAGGGACCTGGACGGGCACACCCCGGGCACCCCCAGCAGGAAACATGGCCCCACCTCATCTACACAACCTCCAGCACGTCCTTCCTCGTATCTGACACAGACGACGCACACGAGCGTCCACTCAGTGACGGCATTTACACCGACCGTGACACAGTGATACTCAGTGACTCAGAAGGAGATGATGGAGACGTGCAGGTCCTGTGGGACCTCTCAGATGACAGCGGACTGGTGGTCGACGACAACGATGATGACGACGATGTTCCTCGCCAACGTGAAATGTTCGTGTCCTCAATCACCTGTCCCATCTGCAGGAAGGAGTTTCCACCCAGAATAATAGAGCAGCACGCCAGCCAGTGTGGCGAAGACCCTGACAGGTCCAATTCCCGTTGACATGTCCCTTGCTTCATTCTGGTGTAATAAAACAACCTGTTCCTTGCAGGTATGTACAAGCACTGCCTGTTTCGTGTTCCAGCAATGGTTTACAGCCTCTGAGCTGAGAATTACATTTACAGTGTGACTTCCAAAGGGATTTGTGAAATATTGGCAACTTCATTCACAAATATCTGAGTTACAGTATTGTGATGACATTTCTTACTTGCAGTATGTATCATATACTCTCAGTTATTGGCCATTTAAAACACTGTAGTTATGCTCCAGTCTTGCTTATTGTGTTTTTTTTGAGTGGGCTAACTAGCATTTCAAATCTGCAGTTTACCCCTGTGAGAAGGGACCTGCAAAAATTTTCCCAACTCGGTGCGATACATCGTCACGATTCGATTTTCAAATGCATTGTTATTCTTTTAATGTTATGGTGCAACATAACACCTCTTCTCGCTGTAGGGGTCACTTTAACCAATAGCAACATTAAAAAAAATTAAGTACAGTAAAACCTTGGATTGCGAGTAACTTGGTCTGTGAGTGTTTTGCAAGACGAGCAAATGTTTTAAATAAATATTAATTTGATAAACGAGCGAGGTCTTGCAATACGAGTAGTACGCATACGCTTTGTCTGCCGAGCGTCACGTGATCACAACCGATGCGCGAGCGCTTTGATATACGAGTGCTTTGGATTACAAACACGTTTCCGAAACGAATTCTGCTCGCAATCCAAGGTTTTACTGTACTTGATTTTCACACACGATTCAATGCCTGCATCTTGAATATACATCTCCCATTTTCACGTAAGGATAAATTAACACCTCTGCTATAAATAAAAGGCTCAATCGTCACCTGCTTTGTATGTGTTGTATATTGGAACCTTACAATCCTGCAGCCGTCACAGGCATTAGTGTCTATCTCACTGACACCATATTATCTGTATCCTGTTGGCATCTAACCTTGTGTCAAGTTATTGTGTTTAACCTTGTGAGAATTTAAGAGACCAGGGTAGGCTGATTTGCAAGAGTGACATGGGTCGTTAAAATGGCAAAAGCAAAAAAGAAACCACAACAAAATCAACGTCACGTGAGAAATTGAAAATATTTCAAACATTACCTAGAAATTGAACAACACAAATTACAAAATTAAGCTACGGAAATGTTAACATTGAAATAGTAATGTGCTTTTTCCACTAGACCGTATTTTTTTTATACAGACTCATACGCAATTAAGTGTTTCTCAAAACGGACATTTAAATTGGGACTCGGAAGCTGGATTCTATTAAAAAAAACTTGTATTAAAATATTGTACATTGACCAACTCGGTGTAATTGTCTTTATTTTCGGTTCGATATTTACGAGGAACTGATGTGATCAAAAACTGATGAGAACTTGAAATGCGCAATAAGGTCAAATATATTGGAGCCATCTAATAACATGGTAAAGCATAGATCACTTTCATATAAACTGATACAACCTTTAATGTCACCTCAAACTTGTGGATATGTTTTACGTACAACCAACGTGTTCCCTGTTGCTATAGCAGCATATCTAACAATGTTAATGCACTTAACCGCACACGATTGGTGTTACAATTTGGGCTGTAACAATTCACCCTCGCGATTAGATAATGGCACGATTCTAGGTCATGCGGGGTATACGCGAACCAATTACAGCATGCTGTACACGAATACAAAATAGTCGCGTAAGCGTAACAGTCGATTTTAATGAATGGTGCATCATTGCCTGCCAATTTAAGAATGTCCAGAGGGGGTGGGAGGGGGGTACTCACACTTTATCCTACCCCTTTTAAATACATCCTGCCACCCTATACGACACACCGCGGTATCCGTGAATTATTGGCACGTCGTCTCTCGGAAAATCTTTTTTTTGCGTGTCAGTCCAAGGTTTATACAAAGATTAAGCGAGCCGTTCTGAACGCACAAGGCTGTTACTCAAACGTAAATAAGAGGCTGCACATCGCACCGGATACCAGTTAAGACGTTGGAAGCGGTGTCTTTATCAACGTGAAGTCTGCCGTGTATAAAGAACGTTACTTTATTGTAGTATCGTGGCTGAGATTTCGCGTCCGACAGAACAAGTTAATTATCCCAGCCTGATTCTGGGGGGGGGGGGGGGGGGGGGGGCGCGGTGATTAGCACGCTGAGCTATGAAGCTGCCTGTCTTGAGTTTGATTCCCGGCTAGGGCTAACATCATTGACGAGTGATGTCTGAAGCTGTCCTGTGCGCCCCCCCCCCTCTGCCCCCACGAACCCGCATTGACCAGCGTGGTCAATTATTGTCAAACAACTTCCACGACCACATCACGGTTTTCCCAACCCCTTTGTTTCAGAGGACTACATTAAATTAGGAATCTAATTGACTGGCATTGTTAATTCCAATGTCCACAATATGTGCAGAGTGTATCACGCTCGTCATTGCAATGCACTTATTGTATCCTCACCAAACATTTAATTCGGACGTCGCATTGCATGTATGCGTACAAGGCTAAGGAGCAGCCCCGACTAGAGGACGCGCAAGGGGGGATATTGGTCTCCTCTTCCACGTTGTCCAGACGTCTTGGAAGAAGTAGGCGTACACAGCGTGTACACAGCCAGATCGCACTTGGCATTGCAATGTACTTACTGTCGATAAACGCGCATCATCTGCGCGTAATATTGCGCGCAGGAGATTGAACGAACGGACGCGGGTCCCGTATGCAGGAGATAATGTCTGGAACGTGACCACTTAGTCCAATATTACTCCACAAGCAACACTTCAGGGGGGGGGGGGGGGGGGGCTGTAAACCCACGAGGCGACCGGTCAGCATTCCATGCAGCGTGCCTGCCACCCGCCGAAGCCCCCCAAGCGTGCGTCCCCTCCCAGCCCCCTCTGGGGGGGCTGCTGCTCCCCTTGGGGGGGCGCGCGAAACTGCTGCAAGTCGCCGGACGCTCGGCACCGCCGGTGCGGCTGCTCGTAGTTCTGCTGCTGCTGCTGCTGGTGGTGGTGGTCGCGGCGAGGGGCCGTGTCTCGCGGAGCGATGGGCGGCTCGTGGCGACGCACGGGGGGGGTCCGGACCGCGTGCACCGGCACTGGGGCTTGAACCGGGATGAGCGCAGCAGCGGACGGCGGTTGCGGAAAGCTCGCACGAGCTGCTGATGCTGAACATGATGGACGTGCTGATACAGCTGCTGCTGATGCTGCTGCTGAACATGATGGACGTGCTGATACAGCTGCTGCTGATGCTGCTGAACATGATGGACGTGCTGATACAGCTGATGCTGCTGAACATGATGGACGTGCTGATACAGCTGCTGATGCTGCTGCTGCTGAACATGATGGACGTGCTGATACAGCTGCTGCTGATGCTGCTGAACATGATGGACGTGCTGATACAGCTGCTGCTGATGCTGCTGAACATGATGGACGTGCTGATACAGCTGCTGCTGATGCTGCTGAACATGATGGACGTGCTGATACAGCTGCTGCTGATGATGATGATGATGCAGGTACTGATGTGGCTGCAGGTGCCGGGACAGCCTCCTGCGCCAGACTGCGCAGCAGAGTCGAGAGCGAGGCGATGCGGTGGATGGCGCGGCGCAGCGTGGCGATCTTGGAGAGGCGCTTGCTCGCCAGGTCGTGGTGCAGGGAGACGCGCAGCGCGTTGAACGCATGGTTGTAGTCCGACACGCGCTTGCGCTCCCGCACGTTGGCCGCCTTCCTGCGCGCCTTGGAGCGGCTGCGCCTGCCGACTGAGGTGCCGGGAGCACGACTGCAGGCAGTGGTGGAGGAGGAGGAGGATGATGATGAGGTGGATAAGGAGGAGCTGGTGATGGGACTGGTGTTGGACGAAGAGGAGGAGGAGGCATGTGTGTGATTGCAGGCGATGTCCTCTGTAGCTGGTGCCACCGGTTGTTGCTGCTGCTGCTGCTGATCAGGCGAGCTGGCTCCTGTATGCCCATCCTTGAACTGCTGCCGGAGGTTCCAGTTTGGACGCCCGCACGCCATGGTGCGCATGTGTCTAGCCGCCTCTGCGCGACACTCTCTCTCGCGAGGTTTGCGAGTGCACGGGCGAGCGAGTGTCTGGGTTCTTCAGCCCCTCGCTGAGACTGTCACCTGACGCGTCCCATCCGCCCACCTACTCTACCTGCCCCCCGCCCCCCCGCCGCGGCTCCCCACCCCTCTGCTCCCGTCCCCTCTGCTCCCCACCCCTCTGCTCCCCACCCCTCTGCTCCCCACCCCTCTGCTCCCGACCCCTCTGCTCCCCACCCCTCTGCTCCCCACCCCTCTGCTCCCCACCCCTCTGCTCCCCACCCCTCTGCTCCCCACCCCTCTGCTCCCCACCCCTCTGCTCCCCCCCCCCCCTCTGCTCCCCATGCACCACCTCCCTCGCTCCTTGCGCCGCTTTCACAAGCACCGTTGCGTCTCCGATTAGCTCCGCACCTCCGATTAGCACGGTTCGCTACGTACGGTGCGAAAGAAGTTAAACATGCGTAGCAAGTCTAGATGAAAAACTTGGACCATTGTGAATTAAGAAAAAAAAAACTGAAACGAATCTATATAAAAAAAATTACGAGGTAATGCCCACTGAACTACACAGCCCTTTTTTCAAAAGTGACTTGGCCACAAATGATAGCTCAGATAAGTTGCTTATCACGTGGAGATGTACAGCAGCCAAAAACTCTAAACGCATGATGTTGATTCTAAATGTGGAGGGAAAACCCGGAGGATCCGGAGAAAAATACATGCGGCCACGGGGAGAGAGACACGCAAACTTAAAATATACAGCAGGCGTCAGGGTCGTGTACATCAGGCGAGGTAGCTAACATCTCGCCACCGTGACGCCCCAATTTAAAATCACTGCATCATAATTGTCAGTTATACATGCATGCATCATACAGGTGAATCCATGCGAGTACAATTCAACATTGCGCATATGCAAGTGCATCTCAAGACGTTGTAATTAATTAGAGTTCACGACGAGACCTGGGGAGGTCCCGGGTAAACCCTGAACAATTCACGGAAAATTCCCGAAAAGGAGTTATACATATATATTTGTTTTAAGCGTTGGTACACATTAAGACCATTCATTGAGAAGGCATGCAGACGAAAGAGGTCCGGACTTGAACAGGATAATTTAAGTCGGCAGGTACGGATTGTCACGGGGAGGAAATCCAGACTATGAGGGTAGCATAGAAGAAGGAGCGACCTTGTGTTTCCTGCAGCCCAGACGTTGCTACTCCATCTGTCGGTCCTCAAGTCATTCCCTTTAATTACAGGTGCAGGTGCGGCCACATTTAATTTACTTTCTGTTACCTGTACCCCCCAGCCACCACAAGACTCTGCAGACCATTATGGAGTGTCTGACTATTTATCTGCTATAATGAGTCTCATTTAAGCTTTAATCCCCACCCCCGCTCCCCGGAAAAATACTCCAATTATGCTACCAACGTCATGTCATGAGTCTAAAATAATCTATTCAGAACTCGCAGTTGCATTACCTTGGTCAGAGAACGCCCCACCTTAAGATCGGTCTATTTAGCCACACCAAGTACAAAAAATGTTTGTTACGTGCAAATCAACACGAAATGTTCAAATTTCACAACGGGAAGGGTGGGGGGGGAAAGGGAAAATGTTTGAACGCCAATGCTTTTTTTCTGTGCGGTCATTCGTAAATCGGGCGAATGTGTTGAGTTTTATTTTGTTAGTTGTGCTTGTACACCACTGCCAACGCATTATCACCAAATAATTTATTTTAAATTTTTTGTCTTGCGCAGTTTATTTGCTCGAACATCGACGCGCGCATTGGTCTGCCTCTGTTTCAAAACTCTTCTGTGTGGGCCATCCCGGTGGGCACTCCCACCTAACGTGTGATTTAAGACATACATCTTTTGGACTTAATATTACATAAAAACGTTAAGAAAATATTCACACGTTTGTTTGTTTGTTTGGTACAAGCACAAAACAAAAGCGGAGAATTTAAGTAACTTATGCTGGATAATTAATTCGGAGAGAATGGATTGAAAGACAATCGATAGGAAGGATGATGCATCGAGGGTGCATCTCTCAGCAGTGGATGTCGCCTTCTCATTGGGTGATTCCAACCCGGCTCACAGCCAGCCACCATTCGTCCACGTTTGCCCCCCGCGTGCATTTGCTCTGCGGTTTAAATGCCACTTCATAACAAGACCACTCTCTTCGAGGCTGCAAGCTAATATTTTACCATTTTCACAGCACTGGATTTCAATAATTTAATTATGGAAAAATTTTAAGAGCGCCCCTAGTGGTGAGAGAGCTGCTCCCTAGTGGTCACAAAAAACTGAACACGAGTTAATAATTCCTAAATATATAATCGGCGACGTTTCAGGCTATAGCCCTTCTTTCAAGTGGTAACAGAGCTTTGGCTAGTGGTGACGGAGAGCGCCCTGGCGGTTTGACGTTGGACTCGGTGGTCAAATAAATTATTAGAATCGTGCAAAAAATATTTTTCGTAGTCTCTATCTCTCTTTTAATGTTATCTTTGAGATTAGTGCTCCCTAAAATGAGTTTTAGTACGCCTTAAAAAAGAAAATCTTACATAGCAAAAAGACATAACACATCACATGTATGTAATGTACATCATTCGTTTTGTCAATCTACTGCTGGATGAGGGCCCCCCCCCCCCACCACGCAGTGCGGGTTATTCCGACCATATTTCACCACCCTGATCAGTGCGAGTTGGTGACGGCGGGAAGCATAGACGACAAAGCATAGAAGTACGTGGCAACAATGAATGTTTGCTGCACGGCCCTTTGCTACTGCTCTACGACGAAGCCCTGCGGCTGTCTGCTAACTTGTTTGTGTTTGGTGGAAACTTTCCCGAGCGCTTCCCAGGCTCAAAAAACTGCTTAGCTTTTGAGATGTGACGAGGGATCGAACACATTCTGGGTGATTTAGTCATAGGCTACATGTTACTTCCGTGAGTACGGTATGTTTAAGTAAAGTACATGTATAGTAATGTACAATCCTTTGTCAACCCGCCGCTGGATGAAGGCCTCTTTACGACGTCATACCTGTCAAAACACACGGTTTACCCCGTATTCTTGTACAGGGTATTTTAGTTTTCAGGTCCATACGACGTGCAGCCGTTTCAATACGGGCGAACAATTTTTTTGATCTATTTGTTTGTGTTTCTCCCTTGTGATGGGACTTTGTAGGATGAACGTTCAGATGTATAAGGGTACGGGGTGACCAATAAGGTCTGAATTGGTCTGTAATAAGGTAGGGTACTGATAAGGGATTGACAGGTAAGCGCCATGTCGGTAGTGATTGACCATACTTCACCACGCTGGTCAGTGAAGGTTGACGAATTGAGGGAGGCGGTGGGGGCCGACGGGAGACCGATTCAGATATCGCTCGCCACTGATACGCGGTCGGGAATCGAACTGAGGATTCCAGGTTCCTGCAGATGATTTGTAATACATAAAAAATAGGCTCCTCGTGTGATGCTGCCGTTGGCAGTGGTGCATTTGCATGAACATCACGCGGGACACACACGTAACCACATGTTGTTGGCACGTACACACACACGCCACAATCTTGCTATCTTAATTTGAATCGGCGCTGCGTCCGTCAACGTTTTTCAAAATAATCTCTGTGTAGGATATAAATAAGAAAGTAGATACATTTTGACTTAAAACTTTCGTGACTCCAGAAATTCATATTCTTTGGTTTTTTCAGTAAAGTCACGTAGATCGAAAAATACAAATAAAGTGAATACAAAATAACCAGTGCTACAGTCTACATTATAGACTGCCAGTACACTCACTCCGATTAAGAATCAGGCTACAGTCTACGTTGGTTTTTAATTTTTTATTCACTTTTTTATATCTACTTGACTTTACCGAAATAACCAAAAAAATAAGAAAGTAGATGAGCACACGATACGTCTCCTTCATGATCTCTCTCCATTCACGTAAAAAAATAAAAGCGTTTTTTTTGTTTTACACGACCCCTTGGCCACGAGGGGCTTGTGGGAGTGCATTTCAGCAGCGGTGATTCAGTACTCTGCAGGCAAACTCTGGATCGTTTGTCGACGTGCAGTGCTTCATCAGCACGTTGTCCATGTGTATCAACACATATCAGCACATGGCCAGACGAGTGTACAATATTAGATGGGAGGAGCTCTGTGAACAGAAAAAAAATGTCACGTGGGTGGGTGGCGATTAATGCTTTTTGTAAAAGTGGCAAACACTCGCACGCATGTAAACATATCAAACGGCATTCAAGTGCATCGCACCTTAGTTAAGAAATCAGAATCAGAATCTTTATTTATCCCGGAGAAGTCCGAGGAGCTATGAAGCTATTTTTCACAGGCGTTAAATAAAGGGCAGATCAGACATGGATACTTACCCATTTCCACGTGACAAATAGCAGTGTAAAAAAAGGTTTTGTTCCTGGGTAGTAAGTGTTATTTCCTAATTGTTTATGCCTCAAAAGTACAGAAAATGGCTATTATTCCCCACAAACTTTGCTTTCGTGACCAGGACAGTGATATTTTGAAATTTACTTATTTTTCCAGAACATTCCAGATAGATTCAGTGCCGAGTAAACTTGGAGCAACTTATAGAACATTCTAGAACTTTCCAGTAATATAATTAGTAGTATAAATACAGGGGCCTTAAGCCCACCAGTTCAGTTTAGATCCAGCTGCCTAAGTGGATACATATCTGCATCTTTCTGAGATGGCATCAAGAGGCTGCAAGCATCCGGCAGACGCATTTTGCTATGTCTGCGGCCAATTTATCAAGACAAGAGCGAAAAAGTACTCCATGGAAGCATCTGCTAAGACGTGTGAGGCCGACAAGGCATATTTCGGCATGACTGTCGGGGATCAAGACAAACCCTGGGCATCTCATTTCACCTGCGAGCAATGCAAAAAAAAACTCTGGAAGGTAAGATGAACAATTGTTGCGAGAATCTCTTACACATTAGTTATGGGTGAAATAAATGTATTTGTGTAGGATGGTACAGAGGGGAAAAGAGAGTCGTGAAGTTCGCTATCCCAAGAATTTGGCTGGAACCCACTGACCACTCAAGCAACTGCCACTTCTGCATGGTGGACCCTTCCAAACGTCGGATTGCCAAGAA